TCAAAGCTCACACGACATGGAACAGGCACGTTTTGAAAATGGTCCCCAGGCGGGTCCCCGAAAGGGGGAATCCCGCCCATCCGCCTCGGCGGGTGGCAGCCCCTCGTACTCTGGGGGGGGGGCAAAAACTGCCTCGTGGGTCGGCCAGAAGTCGACCCTCGTGAACACGAACATCGCACTCGAACGGACAATGATTTTGCACACAATTTGGATCGCACGAAGGCCTCCAATGTGGAGGTGAGGATTCTCTCCGACAATGAGTCTGAGGGTGAGACGATGCTCTCGGCCTCTTCAGACGGAGAGCCCACCCTCTCTGAGGGGAACTCACGCGCGGTTTCGCGCTCCGGGTCAGCCGGAGAGAAGGGATCGTCAAGGGCCGCCAAGCGTGCCCCCCCCGTCGAACGAACCTCAGGAGCCCGAAAGGGCTCCAAAGATCAGCACGGCCCGTAGGGGCAGGCCCAGGGTCCCCGGGAAGACCCACCCCGGTCCGGCGGCGGCAGGGAGAGGCCGTTCCAGCTCAGCAGAGTGGAACGCCCTCCAGAAAGAGGCGGATGCCGCCTTCTTCAAGGAGGCGCTTAAGCGCCCAGGAAAGGCTGGGTAGGCTGAACGCGAAGGTACGGCGGGAATCATGAGCGAGGTCCAGGCCCAGGAGGCGCGAGACGGCCTCGCGACAATATTGACGGAGACCGCCAAGTCCTCTAATCTCAAGGGGACGGTGATCAAAGCAATTAAAGAGGCCGTCAAAAAGGTGGAGAGAGCCATTGACTCTCTCCATCTTGGAGAGACGGCGACGGAGGCGGCGCGGCGGATGTCGGAGGACAACCGCCAGATGAGGAGGCAGCTCGCTGCCCTAGAGGCGGAGTTCAAGGCCATGAGGGGGGCCTACTCCACCGCCACGGCCAAGGCCAAGGCGCAGGTGGCCCCACCGCCGTCCAGCTCCGCGGTGATGCACGCGGGTGTGAGGGAGGCCATCGATGACCTCAGGCGGGACATTTTCTCCTCCATGAGAAATATGATGGACGCCCGCTTGGGGGACATCGAAAGACGCCTCCCCGCGGAGTCCCTAAGGCCTCCCCTAGGCGGCCGAAGTAGTGCGCCCGCCTCCGAGGCGACGCCTGCTGCCACCGCCGTCGCCGCAGCCGCCCCGAGGTTGCTTCCCTCCGCCGCGGCCCCCGAGTCGACACCGGGCCTCTCCCCGGCCCGAAACGCGCCTACTGACCCGCGGCCCAACAAGAAGGCCAAGAGGAAGGCTCCCCCGCCGAAGGCTACTGCTGCCCCTCCTGCGGCGCCACTCGCTGTTCCCGCCGTCCCTGCCGGCCCTGATATGGCGGCCTCCATGCCGACTGACCAGGCGGAAACGCCCTGGTCACAGGTAGTCGGCCGCAAGGCCAGGAAGGCCAAAACGGCAGCTGCCGCCATCCAAGCGGCACGGGCCCCCGCCAAGGCGGCCCCCAAGATGGCTCCCAGACCCAGGGCTCTCGCCACCCCGAAATCATCGGCGGTGGTCATCACGCTGAGGCCCAAAGCGGTGGCGGAAAAGGGGGTCACTTACAAGGGGGTCCTAGAGGCGGCGACCGCTGCGGTCGATTTGGGCAGCCTCGGCATCCCGCACGTGCGGGTGCGGAACACCCAGACGGGTGCCCGCATAGTCGAGGTGCCCGGGGCGACCAGCGCAGAGAAGGCCGACACCCTGGCGGCCAAGCTAGAGGAGGTGATAGTAACGCGCGGCAGTAACGCGGCCTACCAAAACCGCCGATCTAAGGGTTTGACGAGTCGGTGACCCCGGAGAAGATCCGGGCGGTGGTGGCTGCCAAGGGCCAATGCCCCCAGTCCGCCGTGAGCGTGGGAGCCGTCAGGCTGGCCCCCAACGGGAGGGGGTCAGCCCTCGTCCGCTGCCCGGTGACGGCGGCCCAACGCGTGGCGGCTGCCGGCTGCCTGTAGGTGGGGTTGTCCTCCGCCGGGGTCCATGTGATGGAGCCCCTCCCCATGCGCTGCTTCAGGTGCATGGGGATTGACCACACCAGAGCCCTCTGCCCGTCCAGTGTGGACAGGAGCGGGCTCTGCTTCAGGTGTGGCCAGGTGGGACACTCGGCCTCCGGGTGCACGGCGACCCCGCGGTGTTCGGTCTGCACCGCGGCCCGCCGTCCAGCGGACCACGTAATGGGGGGGCGATCTTGCGCTCCCCCCCCCCCACCAAGGGCAAGCCGGCGGGGACCTCAGTCCCCGTCCTCAGACCGTTGTCCCTATTGAGGGACAAAGTATGGAGCAGTGATGCCAGCACGCCACCATACTATACTGCAGGGCAACCTCAACCACTGCGCCAGAGCACAGGACTTATTGGTCCAGGCCATGGCGGAGTGGGGGGTTGCGATGGCTGCTGTGGCGGAGCCATACTTTGTCCCCCCTCGGGGGAACTGGGCGGGGGATCGGGAGGAGACGGTGGCCATAATGGCGTCGACTGCCGGGAACTCCCCCCTTCTAGCGGTGAAGGAACGCGGGTCAGGGTTCGTGGCGGCAAGGTGAGGAGAAGTCATCCTAATTGGGGTGTACTTCTCTCCTAATCGCTCCCTGGCCCAATTCCAGGCTTTCCTGGAGACCCTAGAGAGGGCGGTGAGGAGGGCAGCTCCGGTGCCGGTGTTGGTGATGGGGGACCTCAACGCCAATAGCGCTGCGTGGGGTTCCCCGGTCACCAATGCCAGGTGGCCAGAGTTGGAGGATTGGGCGGCAGCCTTAGGGCTGGTCGTCCTCAACCGGGGTCATGCCAGCACGTGCGTGCGGCGAAATGGGGGGTCAATCGTGGACGTCACGTTCGCGACCCCCTCACTAGCCGCGCGAGTATCCGGCTGGCAGGTCCTGGAGGACGAGGAGACCCTCTCCGACCACAAATACATACGGATGAGGGTCTCCCATATGCCGCTCACGACGGCCTCCAACACGGCCCCCGGGGGGGGGCTTTCCCAAATGGGCACTCACCCGCCTGGACCTTGAGCTCAAGTTCAGGGAAGACTTGACCGCCGTCTGCGAGAGGGCCATGCCCAGGGTCAGAGGGACCCCGGGCAAAAAGAGGGTGTACTGGTGGACCGCGGAGATTGGGGACCTCCGCACCGCCAGTACAGCAGCCCAGCGGGCCTACGGCCGATGCCGTCGCAGGCGCCATACCCGGAGTGAGGAGAGAAGGCGATCGGAGGACAACCGACTCGCCCCTCCGTTGGCGCGGGAGCCCTGGCGCAAGCTAGGGCGGCCGGGCGGCGTCGTGGTGAATGTTCACCGAGCCCACGGCGCCGACTCAACCGGCGAGAGGGAAACCCGGGGGGGGGATTTAGTGGGGTAGGCCCTCCAGTCTGGAGGGAGAGTCCCCACATAACCTCTGAGTCTCCCTGGGCTCAGGGGTATCCATAAAGATTTCCCCCCCGTCAAAAAAAAAAACAAAAAAGGAGATAATAAAAATCGGTTCTTATTGAGAGAGAAAAAACGCTTTGAATTGGAGAATAGCAACATCAACCATTAAAATAAGTGCTCCTTATAATAAAATTTAGGCGCTATTTATAAAAATGAATCTTCATGCGTGAACAGTGGTGGATGATTTTCTTTCAATTAAACGGGACCCTCTTTGCAAATACTGGAGTTATCGCGTAACATACATACAAAAAAAACATACAGTCGAATTGAGAACCTCCTCCTTTTTTGAAGTCGGTTAAAAAAAGAACAGCAATATAGTTTAATAGAATTGTAAACTATACGCTAGAATGTTTAGTCGCGGGAACTCCCGCAGCTTATCGTATCTAGTTTGTACGTAACACCGTTCCTTATACTATGTTCAATTTCGTTACAGTACTTCGGTCCTTATTAGTCGGTTTTGAGTCACATGCACATAAAGTATTTATTATAAATGTAATATTAATTTTTAGCTCGCGAGAAAGGCTCGCAAACTTTCACCCCACAAGTGCGGCGAAGTATGGCGGGCGGAAAAGGTGCGCGCAGAGTGATATTAGAAATTTAAAAAATCTCCGTTTAATTGTTTTGAACACAGTAATATAACAATTGTCTCTGAAAGCCAAATAACTATCGAAACTAGTACACTGCAATTTATTGATAAAATGTACTTTGTTTTCTATTTTACACGTAATTAATTATAGAAGTCGTACATAAAAGTGACCGATTCCTAAACTTAGAAGGTATTAAAATAAATTTATCACCTACATTCTTAGTTTTATTTATTTTACCATAAAGTTGAATATTTAAGCTATCCTCCGATATAACAATAATTTTCTCGCAATAAGGAGACCCGTGTTCAGCAGTGGGACGTATAAATGGGTTGATGATGATGAGGATATGACATTTACGTCTTTGTTATAAGAATACTCACAACAAACAGTAAAAAGTTCGGTATATGAAGTTGCTATTACGATTTATTTTTTGTGTATGTTTCGCTAAACTTTTATCTGCAAAACCGACAAAAACAAATACCTTATGGTGCGGCCGTGAGGCGTGTGCAAGCCGGAGACATCCAGAACATAACGCGCCGGCCTCCAGCGAGCCGCCGGCCGCACACTCTGTGCACTCCCATCGGGCTAAAGTTCCGCACACAGTGCATTGACGCGGTACTGAAATAATAGGTAGCTCCGCAATTAAGCAGTACGAAGAATTCACAAAAAAAATTGACCAAAAAATGTTGTCGTCTCGGATGACCGCATTCTTCTTACACAGATGCTGACTTCTGGGATAACGTACATTAGACATTTTGTAGACAAATTACGTTTTTAACAAAATTATTGGGTTAAGGTTCTATTTAAGTAAAGTTTTCCTTTCAGTGTAATTAAGTTTTTTTTGACGCTACACAAAAACTAGCACAAATTTAAACAAAGGCGTAATAATTGTTAAGTCTTCTTTAGCGTCTTCAAAAGTCCTGATTACAGATTTGAATATAATAAATTCATTAACTTTATCAAATTATACTAAAAAGCCTAAGTCTGGAAATATCATGTTAAACGAAACTTAAATGACTAATTAATAGGTATGTAACCGAACTAACCTACAACTGTCAGTTTCTTTGAGCGTCAACTAACCGCCAAAAAGAGGTTTTCAATACCTACGTATAGGTATTAAAAACCTCCATATTAAGGTAACTCACGTAATATCAAATGTACTGATTCTATCACAGACCTAATTTTTTATGTATATATTATATTTATATATACTTATGTTAGATATATTTAGATACGTGGGGCGCACTATAAGTTTCCGAAATGAATAAGAAAAAAATATTATAATTGGTCAGAATTGAATTTATTGTTTCTCAAAATATTCTCCGTTAGCGTTAATGCACTTTTTCATACGAATGAACCAATTTTGAAAACATTTATGCCACTCCCCCGTGACAATCTCTGAAACATATTTTTCATACTCTTCGACAGCCTCTTCAGGTGATTAAAATCGTTGACCGCGTAACTGGTTCTTCTGGAAATTCTGCAAACCAGTTATAAATAGTCGTCTTGCATGGTGCTTCATCGCCAAAAGCAGTTTGAAGCCGAGCGAAGCTCCGCTGAACTGTTAAATTACACTTAAAGTCGTAGAAAATCATACTACAAAAAATTTCACGAGTGATGAGAGGTGACGTAGACAACCAATTTCTAAAATGACGCCACAAGGTAAAAACAAGTGACAGTCAGATGAAACTAACTGTATTCTACAGCCAAAGAGTTCCATTTTCAAATGTTGTAATTACTTTTTAAATATTGTTTATGTAAGTGGCCAGTTCCGGAAACTTATAGTGCGCCCTATGTATATGTCCGTGGATTGGATAATCTCTTATTGCAAATCGATCGATTTGCAATTATCTACTTTATTACAAAAAATTAAGTAGATAATTCCTTTTGCAAATATGCCACGCGGATATTGTGTCACCAAGACATGGTATGTAAACTCAATTTTCTTTTCTTATGGCCTAACTTCATGGCTTTTCACCATATTTACACCAACACACGGCACCATTCAGCTTCTATTAACTCTGTTTAAGGCTTCTTAGTTTATTTTGATATAATAATACACCGAATATATTTTATTCAACTATGAAAAACATAACCTCGAAAACTTCAATCTGGAATATCTTTAATTGTAGTCTTCTCAGAATAGTAAACCCAAACCAAATTTGTTCAGGAATTTAAACTCATCACTTTTAACTATTTTTCATAAACAGACGCATAAAAATTATGTCAACAAAAATTTATATTTAGGGATTTCGCCATAGTTCTTTCTCACTAGTACCACTTTTCAGATGGTGGCATTAGTGACAATAACAAGACTTAGGGCACCATCAGTGGTACTTATTAGTGACACCAATGGGCCCAAAGTATGCTTTGGTCCCACTGGTGTCATTTAACTGAATAATTAATTAACTATATCTCCTTAACTACACAAAGTTAACTTACATCCTTCAATGAGATCAGTGACATCTAACAGTGGAGAAGGTAGTACTTGCTGATACAGTTTGTACTGTTTGCCAAAACGAGGCATTTGGATTATAAATGCAGCTGGCACCTGAAATAAATCAGTATTTTTTTAATCTTAATTTAATTTAATTAGTAATTCAATTACGATAATTGATTTAAAAGTGCTATAGAACAATGGTAGGCAGGTGGAGCCTTCTGAAAAAAAATATTCTGCCAATACATACATCGACATACCGCACCACACTAGTCTAATCAAATGATTCTTTCAAAAACTCTTTTAACGAGATCAATGATCTTGTCATGTTTTATGACAGACTTCCATCTGGTTTTGAGTAGTTGAAAACTCTAATCTTCAGCACATATGCAAGCAAATGTTTTCGAATGTAAAGATTAAACATTGTTCTCGTCTCACTGATGAACATTTGAATGCATACTTAGAAAAAAATTGAAAATATATTATCAAAGAATTGCCAGACAAATATAGCCTCAAAAATCGTCCTCCTCAAATTGGCTTTGAAATTCCAATTAAATATCACTAAAACAAATTAATTGTTGGTATCAAATAACAAAACGTCAATTCGGGAATTATTTGCGTTGTTTTTGCTTGCCTAATATGCGTGTGATGCACTTTGGTGGCATGGCTTACAGGGCTGCGATCGCTCACCATATGGTACTGGCAGAAAACCAGCACTGTTTGACTTCTCTCGGTCTACAGTATTTATGCTGAGTCAGGGCCATTTCAGCACAAACTGTAGTCATAGGTACATTAAAATTTTATCAATTGTTATAGTATTTGTTTGTTTTTCTCACAGTATTTGTTTTTCTCGCAATATGTGTTTTATACATATAAATGTGTATAAAATTAATAATGAATGTTCTATGTGCTTTTATGTTATACTCTGTGAAGTGATTGTAAATGTTTTGTTTCTGTTTGTATTTGTGCTGAATAAACGTGTTATCTATCTATCTATCTAATAACTGCAACATATTTTTTTATATTATTAATATTACAAACAAATGCCGCCACCTTAATTTTATTATGCACTATGTGGCCGTTGACTGCGGAAAGGTTACCGACTGCTGCTATAGCGTATTTGAGACAAGCACAAAAGAGGGAACACTGTTTAAAGACGTTATATTATGGAATTTGTTGCGGTTGCTTGAATTTGAATCCCTCCTACTACGCAAACGAATAAGCCCCGGCGCATTCAGGTGGACTCCTGCGCAAACCAGTGGACTCCGGCGCCTCTCGCCGCGGTATCCTTTACCGTGCACTTCAACAGCGCGAGAGAAAAATGCGCCAAGATGCTCCGAGGTCGGTTTAAGAGCATTTAAATTTATACCTTATTTCAACTATGATAGTATAAAATATAAATTGATAAATTTAATGTCCTCTGCAATCTCGTCCGCCAGTTTTATGGTTTCATGAAATACATTTAGCGCTTTAAAAAACACAAATTAACAAGCTTGTACTAATTTTAACTGCCTCTGTGGCTGAACGGTTACCACGCTGGATTGCCACGCAGAGGTCCTGGGTTCGATTCCCGAGCCGGGAGAAATATTTGTATGGCCTACATTTATTTCACTCGATAGTTTGGGTGTTATTTGTAGTTGTCTACTTATGTGTGTGTCCGTGGCACCTGCAATACAGGGTTTCTCTACTGCAGGGCTTTAAAAAAAAAACAAAATTTACCTCACTCAGCTTGACACCTGATGTCGTAAATGACTGCTCAAGCAACTGTTGCACTGTTGGCAATGTTACGGCTTCGTCTTTTTCCACGAATAGCTGGTAGCAGTATGACTCCTGTCCAGACGACAGCTTTAAAAATGGCTCGGCTCGGAGCAATTGAGCTACTAAGCCATTTAGAAACTCTTCTGGGTCCTATCGGTGGTAAAAAAAAGAATGTGACTACAGGCAGTATAAATTTTTTATCACATACGATGCTCTGATCCCAAAATAACTAAAGCACTTGTGTTATGGAAATCGAAACCAACGACCGTACCCGAGACCCGAGACAATATAGTAGTTACTTAATTTCTACATTGACCCGGCCGGGGATCTAACCCGAGACCTCAGAGATTTCGACACCATGAAAACCAGTGCACGCAAACGTAAACGCAAGGCACCCGATCAAGGTGGTCGTCGAAAACCAAGTACACAGATTTGAGTAATAAAAAATATGTTTGTCTGTTACCAATTTTGAATGACAAATATACAAATTACACCTGCCTCCCTGTGAAATCTACTCCACATATTATAAGAGCAGCAAATTTGCTGTCCTTGTCATAAACAACTTAATCGATATTTTTAGCAAAATTTAATTATTACAATAGCTGGAATCAGCGAAACGAGATCTACAACCCCCCGTAAGCGGTTTTATTATATCTTATTTAGTTTTAGTTTTATTGTTAAGCAAAATCAACGTAATAGCCATTTTTCAAAGAAAAAAAGCTTGAGGTGCCAATGTAGTATATGCACATAATTGTGCCATAGATATTAGACAATATAAGTTACACTGCGGCCCGCCGTTCTCGCACTACGACACTAGACAGTGGTGTGAACGGACGTATCGCACGTGTACGTGAAGTAATGTTGTTTCATTGAGCTATCCCTATACTAAGTAACGTAAATGCCACAGCCACTATATCGAAAATGACTAAAATTCAAATATGCGTTATTTATGACAACGACGGCAAAAATCTCTATTTGTTTCGACACACGTCATTCTTGACAAATTTCTTCCATTACACTTAGTCTATTTTAGTTTTACGATAAGAATATAACAACTTATACCTTTTCCTCTGAAGTAAGACCGGGAACATCAGACAGTCTTTCCAGTAGTGTGCGTAACTTCATAACCCGGTCAGCTCGCACATACCCGTGTTTGCGTAGCGGGTTTACTATCTCTTCGCGAAGCACTCGCTGCACCTCTGAATAGTGAGGTGAATCCTGTCAATTCAATTAGTCAATTGTAAATTGTGAACTTTGGTCAAATACAATGAAACCGAGTTTCGGTTTATGGGAATACTGTCATGCATGTCACTGCATCAGGGGAGCACCGAGCGGTTATGTGGGACTGCAAGCGGTAACCGAGTATACCCACTAAAACCCAGCAGTTAACCGCACCGCGAAAAAGGTGCTGTTAGGTTTGATACGTAGGTATCTTCGCAAATGCACAAATGATCTACTCACATCCTCTCTATTCCTATCCTAAAAAACGCAGTGATTTGAGGGTAGGATATTCCCTGTTTTGACGGGCTCTGTTGCAACTACGCCGCGCTAGCGAACGGTCGCACTTGACGCGATATCACCGTAGCATTTGTCCAACGGCAATACGGAAAATCATCTTTACGGAAAAGCATCTCATCTGTCTGCGAGAGATCAGAGAGGGCGGTGCGACAACCCCCTAACACCTGGGCATACGCATAAACACCAGCGACCGACACATCTATCGAGGGAACAACTCAAGGTCAGTCAGTGCGTTCACCCTATCCCATTTTGGCCCCGTCAGGTGCCACGGGATCCGCTTGCGCATATTTCTGGGATGGAATATTAATCTCCTAGATTAACAATTTTATTATATTGTTAGGTTATTTAATCTCGTTTGTTTTCATTTTAACGTGGCTTACAAAATAAGGAATAAATATCCCGAAAATATAACGTTTTTCAACAGTCTAGTCTACACTGTCTATGAGGTAGTAAAAAGAAATTTAGTTATTTAGTTAAAAGAAAATATATCGACGAAATATAAACAACACACCTCGGGTTCCGGAGGTCTGTACAATAGTGCATCAAAAACGCTGGTGAAGGTAAACATGGAAAACAACGTAGCGTCGAGATAGCAAGAATTGTGATGGCCTTGGATACCGCGGCTTTTGCCTGCCAGCTCACCTAGTGAACTCAATGGGGGCACGACGCCTGGCACTACTGGGCAGTCAGGCTGGAACAGAAGCAATGTCTTAAAAATGCTGTGATAAGGTTTTAAAACATAAAAATGAAATGGTACTTTACCTGATCCGAACGATCACTGTCATGCAAATCGACTCGATCTGGAGGCGGGGTGTCGCGGAAGCGAGCGTCACGACGGCACAACGGCAGCGGCACGAACAGTGCTCGACCTGGTGCACAAGAGAACAGTCGACACCCCCCTCGCGTGCCATCCCCAAGACCACATACGTTCTGCTCTAATTCAACACCTGCTGTCGCCGTGTCTGCAATACAATACTTTATAGTTATGAACTACAAGTAGTTTTCTACTGCAGAGGTCTTCAATTTGTTAGGAATGGAAATATTATTTTTTAATAATTCAATCTAATTCCGTAAATCTATTTCTATAGGATTTGAATTACCCTCTTAGAAGGTTGTTGACTCTATATTTATTTTATGACAACTTCATGTATACTTTAAAAATAACAAAATAGTAAAACAGTATTGATTACCATCAATAATGCCTATCCACCTGACGACGCCATAGTAATGTTGATCAACATCAGTAGCAACCTCCACCAAGGATCCTACACCAATATCCTCTTGTAAATGAAGGGGCGAGGACCTCGTTATGGGAGGTACTGCCACACGGGGGGAACCCAAAACTGGCGTGTCATACAGTTCTTCGGGCACTTCGGGACTGCACACATCTGTCAAGTAGTGTTACGTTGAAACAAAAAAACTATCGCCGATAATTCGACAGGCAAAGTACAATTATGGTTTCCCAACATACAGTCCTCATATTCAAGTACACATAGAGGTATTTCATGAATAGAAAGCTCTCGCAAATACGCGTGCGACATATTTCAAGGCGCAATGCACGCGTCAGCCGGCCGCTCGTCGGCGCTGTACTATGACTAAAATTAGAAACTAGGAAAGCTAAAATTGTACAACCCGTGGCGCGCCCTGCATTCACTGTTGTGCTTGTGGTTCCAATCTGTGTTGGTGTTGATAATAATGAAACATTTTAAGAAGTTTCTACATAGTTTAGACTATAGGAGAAGGTATATGTAATGGATAATCAACGAAATCCAATGGTATGTGATTGATAAGTTTTGTGTGTACACTGAATATCAATGAATAGACAATAGGCTTGTTTACATAACAACATAGTAGTGAATAATCCATTCTTTGTAGTATTTAATAATTATAAATTTATTAGCAACAAGAGATATAAAATGTGTTGTTATAATTTCTTAATAAAATATTTGAATTTAAATCTACACCTTCAGCAAAAACAGAAATTACTCTATTTTGTACATAATTTGTGAAAAATAAATTATAAAATATATTTTTTGTTATTGCTCTATATTAGTTACAGTAGAAGTTATCAGCTGCACTAGAAGATAATTTGAATCAAAATTTTTAAGAAAATGGTAACATGATGAAGGTCAATGACAATGTCAATGCAGTCATTTAGGACTTACCTATTAAGATGCCTGTTTCGACTTTTTTGGGCTCGTGAACCATTTTACTTCTCCTCACTTCTCTGTTAGGTGAATTTGATGATGTAGAAGGTCTGTTCCGTCTTCTATCAGGTGCTAAATGGTTAATTAGGTTCAGAGACTTGATTCGTTCATTATTTGAGGGGCGCTGCATAGTGCGTCTGCGAGTGGTAGATACTGATCCATACTCAGGGCACTCCAAGTCCCTAGGAGCTGGTGGCCAGCTTCCCCCGATCAAATTGTACAAATCAAGTTGCTAAAACAAACACTGTTTATTGACTTAAATGTATCACAGGTAAACAATACACCAAGCTGTGTGTGAAAATGTGTGTTTTTCACCTGTATTAGTCAAAATAAATTTAAGGCAAAAAACAAATAAGTGACACAATAAAAATCCATTAACCCAATGCAACCAAAAACAGATTAGTAACCTAGTTTTAGTTAAAACAGACATTTGTTTATGAATAGAAAAATAGTGCCAATTAAGATCTGTATGTGGTTGGTTAGTGAATATTGGCAAAATTTAAATGTTATAACAAAAAACCTGTGTCTCTCTGCTGCTCCCCAAATTTTCATTTTCCTGCTGAGATTCATTGTTCATTCTGGTCGATGCAGTACGCAAACAATACTACAGCGTGCTAAGTACGAACACATTTCAGTATAAAAAGTACGCTAATTAAATCAATCATAATGGCCCATTTTTGCAGTAAAGCAATGAAAAACTTACCTGGATTGGACATGAGAAATTGTCACAGAAAATATGATGCACGAATTTATTTCGAAAGAAGTTGATAATTATCAATCACAAATTGCAATCTAAATTTATATCTTTAATTTATTTTTAGTTCAGAAAAGTTGTCACTCTTGATGAAATTAAACAGCTGATAGTGACAAGAGTTTGGTTGATGAACGAACTGTCATAGATTCAAAAGTTATCCTAAAGCCAAGAAAGCGCATCACAAATTACTTACATACTATTTTGCACTGGCTCCGTAAACACCTTAGATGGAAAAAAATAAATTCCATAGTCTTAAAGTAAATACACAGGTTGCTCCACACGTCACGGGTATGTTTATTTTACACCGGTCATATTTTATGTCATACTCGAATCATAAATATCAATTTTGAAAAAAAAAAAAATTTCAGAAAATTAAACATTTTTCTGAATATTATTCACATATTTTTCCATATTTGACAGTTGACGTCTGCCAAAAGTTGAAGAGTGAACGAAAACCATGGAACCATGCCTAATAAAGATTTTTTCACTTCTCATGCTCTTATGGTCTAACCACACATATCCGGGCCGCGCCCGCGACGTGGACGGGCCGTGCTCCGTCAGGGGCTCAAAAAAATATCGTTGCGTATATTTTGATTGAACTCGTTCACACATGTCCGCTGTGCATGTCCGTGTCCGAGCCGGCGCCGGGACGAGACTGCAGTTCATACTAACCAGCACGCTCCGGCCACGTGCCGGGCACGGCCCTGATGTGTGTGGATAGTCCTTTAAAGTTCGTATTTATGCTGGGTGTAGGCTGCATAAAATAGGATTTTATGCTCTAGGGCATAAAATAAAAAACCATCACATTAAATATATCTAATTATTGTAATTTTACATTCAATTTTAATTAAATAATCGTTTATTTGTAATATTGCTGTTTAATTTCCTCGCAATCGAAGTGAAATCTTTGAAATTTTACAGAAAGTTACTCAACAGTAGCTTGAATGAGCGGATGAACACTATTCATATATCATGATCTCAAGTGTAGGTATTATTATGTAAGAACTTTTTTTATTTAGTTTTACTTAAATGTTTCGGGATGGCTTTGGCTGTCACTTTTGCGTAATAAGATTTTTGATGCTTTTATCAGTATCACTTTATTAAATCGTAAAAAGCGTTTTACAAATAGGCAGGTATTTATACAAAAATAATAATGAAGCTAAATGTTAAAAAAATAATTAACATTGAATCCAAGTAAGTTAGCTAAGCCCAAAGTCAAAGTCAAAGTCAAAGATTATTTATTCCATAGGTAAAATAAATTTACACTTGAAAACGTCACAGTTAAGCTACTGCTCGTTCACTACGCTGACCTCCCTGAGAAGAACGAGCAAGAAACTCTAGGGATTGCTCTTTTCAAATAAACTTAAATGCTATGAAATACACTTTGAATCAAATTTGTGTGGATTCTGGAGCCATGGCGTTTTTCCATACATCTTTATCTAACACGTAGTCTTCAACTTTGTAATATGATTTTTTGATCAAAATTGTAGTTTTTAAACTTAGGAATTGATAAACTTAATATATGCTCCGGAATCTATTGTAAAAACGTATACAGCTCCCCATAAAAGAGTTGTTTACCTTGGTTAAACGAAATCGTGGTACCATGAGTTTGGACTTAGCTCTAAGGTTAATATTATGGATATCTTCTTTCTTATTGAAATTATGTATATGTTTACGGGCATATAAAATATTTGACTAAACGTACTGTGATGCCACAGTCTTGATACCAGTCTCCTTAAACTTTTCTCTGAGAGATACCCGAGAACCTAGACGGTACACAGAACGAATCGCTCGTTTTTGCAATACAAATATGGTTTGAATATCTGCCGCTTTACCCCACATGAGAATCCCGTAGGACATTATACTATGGAAGTAACTAAAGTAAACTAGTCTAGCAGTACTAACATCGGTAAGCTCACGTATTCTGCGGACTGCGTATGCAGCGGAGCTTAATCTGCTGTAATTAAGAGTAAATTTCACCCCAATAATCGTGACCTATCAATTAAGTCGCATTTTCCCTTTTTTCCATCCTCTAAGATGTTTCCCCATTTTCCATCACAAATTCAGTGCCTCCAGTGAAAAAGGGAATAACTCAAAATCTACACTTTTTAGGAGAGGCAAAAAACCATAAATTTATTGATTATTGGTAGTTCGCATTTATTATTAGTACTTTTTATAAAAAAAAATAAAAAATAATAAAAATCATTTATTTCAGGCCGTAAGCCCATAAAAAAACAGAACAAAAGTATAGTTAAAAAGAAAAGAAAAGGGGTATTAGTAACACAACACATCTTAAAACTATGTTAGTACAAAATTGACACAATACAATTAATATATACATATGTTAGGAATCACTACCTACTTTATATGTCCAGTAGTGATCCCTAACATGAAATTCAGCATTGCGCTATCAATGCGACACGCAAACATCTCCAGGATGCCGCTGCCACCACCACGCACTCTTTTCAGCAGAGACGTCACTTTTTTGCGTCTAACCGCGTAAAAGTCGTCAGTCCGCGCTTCAGCGAACATGCCGGACGCGCTGCAACGCCGTGGTAGTCCCAACAACATCCTGAAGATGTTGTTGTATTGCACTCTCAGAGTATTGTAAGTACTCTGGGTATACCTGACCCATAGACCACTCGTGTACATGGATTGGCAAAAAGCTTTGAAAAGCGTGATTTTTACCTCTCCTGTACATCGAGCGAATCTACGAGCAAGCATATTTCCACGCACAGCCAGAGCCCTGCGCTCCCTCTCTATATCCATGTCGTCTTTTAAATTGTCTTTTACGACGTGTCCCAGATATTTAAAACTATATGCTCTACCGAGAGGCACGCCACCGAGCACTAGCGATGGTACAACGTTAGGGAGGCGGTTGCCTGCTTTGAAAACAAGCAACTCACTTTTTTTTGAGTTGTACATCAGCCCATGCTCGGCCGCATACCTCTCACAAACTGCAACAAGTTTCCTGAGCGCATTTATAGACGGTCTCAGCAGCACGATGTCATCTGCGTAGCAGATGTTAATGACGCACTTGTCGTCAATAACACATCCAACTTGCATGCTGCTGAGCTCGTCCAGAAGCCCATTCACATACAGGTTGAAAAGCAGGGGAGACGTAAGGCCCCCCTGCCTCACACCGCATTCCAGTCTGTATTCATCAGACATCTCGCCAGCCCATCTCACCTGATTTATTTGGTTACCGTACCAATACTTTAGTAAGTATATACATTCAGCCGGCACATCCGTGTGTCCTAGTCTGTCCCACAACAAGTCGTAATTTACCAGGTCAAAAGCCTTCGACAGGTCTAGGAAACACGCATATACGTTTTCCTTTCCGTATAGTATTGAACAGTTCGCTTAAGGCACCAGATGGCGCTTTCGGTAGACAAACCAGTACGAAAGCCAAATTGAGAGTCGTTTAAATGTATGTGTCTACTAAGGTGGCCGTTAAGCAAACCGTCCAAAACCTTAGCGGTAACAGTTGTCAGTGAGATGGGTCTATAGTTGGCCATGTCCGACACGTCGCCCGTTCTATTTTTAACAAGAGGTACTACTACAGTTCTCATAAGGCTCTCTGGCAGATATGAGTGTTGCAAACACAACGTGTAGAACATAGCCAGAACTCTCGGCAGATGTACTCCAGCATACCTGAGATGCTCAATGCTAAGACTGTCGTGTCCCGGTGATTTCCCACGCTGCATGCCATTTACGATCGAGGCAACTTCCTTCGCAGAAAAGCTTACGGTACTCTTCCTCACGCCAGTCTCACCATTTTGCACCCCACCCGGCATAGAGATCAACGGAGACCTAACTGTGAATAGGCTTCTAAAATTGTTGGCTATATCTACTTTATCACACGCCCCACCAACGCTCACGGGAACGCCAGAGCTCACATTCCACTTTTTAGTGCTTTTCCAAAAGCCTTTGAAGTTCTTTGCCGAGTGGTGCGAAGCTAAAATGTCACATTTAATTTGCTCTTGTCTACGTTGGCACCACTTCAGTTTTGACTTAAAAAGCTTACGACTTTCGGACATTTCATTAAAAATAACACCATTGGGTGGTTTTCCCGCCGACAACCATTCTTTAAATTTAACCCTAGCGTCTCTATGAGCACTGGCAACATATTTATTCCAGCCCGCAATGTATCCTTTTTTTCTACAGCATTTTTGCTTACTCGACTGTCGAGACGCTGATTGCATTATATTAATTACATGTTTATACATTTCATCCAAGAATATATAATGACTAGGGTCGCAACACATTTTATCTCCACAATGCATTAGTTCAGACGGGAAATCCACCTGTTTCAACTTCTCGTGACAAATAGAGTGATACAGGTGAATCTGAGCATTTTCACGCTCTCCCCACACAATGTCGTTGTATGGTACTTTGGTATTATTACATTTAACCTGTACCACACCAATGTCACATTCAATTTTATGATTTCTAGCTTTAGGTATACAGTGTTAAAGATTTATAAATTGGATATATAGGATCGAATAAGAGGTAATAGAATAAACTCAGCACAGTTAAAGCAATGTATGTTTTATATTCAGTGACAACACAAGTTACAAGGTTACTATAGAAACGATCTTTATGGTAGGCACAAAACACAATAAAGGCTTCATGCCTTAACATCCAGCCCTGTTTGTGATGCCTGCAAGGTTGCAAAGCTCTAGGATCCTGGGTCCATATAAGGGCTTCGTCAACATATCAGCTAGTTGCCGAGCTGCCGGTACTTTGCACACTTCGATGATACTATCTGTTACACATTCTCGTATAAAGAAAGATCTTATTCTTATGTGTTTCGTTCTTTGATGAAATTCATATGGCGGATTTTTAGCTAGCCTTATTGCAGACTCATTGTCAATACATAGGGTCGTGGGACAATCCTCATTTGTGATATCTTTTATAATCCTCTTTAGCCAGATTCTTTCACGAGCTGTTTCACTAGCAGCTACAATTTCTGCTTCTGTGGAGGAAATAGCCACGGTAGATTACCGCTTACTCTGCCAAGATATTGGTCCTCCAGCAAACAAACATAACATGCCAGTAGTGGAGCCTTCCTTTATCATGATCACCTCCGTGATCAGCGTCGCTATAACATTCTAAGCCAAGGGCTTTATCATTGCTGTAAATAATTCCTTTCTCTAAGGTGCCTTTCAAGTAGCGTAATATTCGCTATAAATTTAGGACATCCTCTGTTGAGGGATTATCAAGATTTCGTGATACGACACTTACAGCATATGCAATATCTGGTCTTGTACCTGTCATGAGGTAAGCTAAAGCTCCCACTACTTGACGATAAGGGAAGGTCGAAAAATTATCTTGATCTTGGCTTATTCTTTGTTCGACTTTACGATCGGTGTAGTAACAACTTTACAATTCTCCATGCCGAATCTTTCTAGAACGCGTTTAGTGTACGTTTTTTGATGAAGCCAAATAGAACCATTTGATTCTTCTGGAGGTTTCATATAAATTTCCTCATTCAACTTTCCATATAAGAAGGCAGTTGAAACGTTGAATTGGGCCAGAGACATATTTTCCTTAGCAGCAATTCCTACTGTTCTTATGGTACTGCTTCTCGCTAGAGGACTAAAAATCTCAAAATCTAAACCTTTCTTCTGTTAATACCCCTTAATCACTAATCTGGCCTTGTACTTGTCTAAAGTACCATCAGGCTTAGTTTTGATTTTGAATATCCATTTGCAAGGAATCGCTTTCCTGCCTTTTGGTAATTCGACTAAATCCCAAGTTTCGTTTTCTCTTAAGGAATTTATTTCTTAGTAAGGGCTTCTTGCCATTTGTCACGACCTGCTCTAAACATAGCTTCTTTGAAATTTTTAGGATCGCCAATAAGCGCATTTGATGTCATGTTGCAATAAATCTTCGTACCGACTTGGAGGTTTGAGGGTAGTCCTATCTCTAAGAGTCATTCGAGACGACTGTTCTATTTCATTTTCAGAAAGTTTACCGACATCTCGACAACAGTTTATCGACATCATTATGTACGTCTTCCTCAATTTCAGGCTCTATAGTATCATGGAACTGCTCTGACTCCTCGATATCTATTTGATCCACTTGATCATCTTGCTCTTGTTGAACGTAAACTTCTTTCTCAAACGATCCATTGTACTGTGATGATGAAGGCATCGGTTCATTTACAGATTCTCGCCTGTCTTGAGCGTCATTCTGCTGTACAATATTTTCTTTGGGCGACTCTTCTTGGAGATCTGGTTGCTCACATTGAAATGTTTCATTGGTTCGAGTTGATGGTGGAGGAATGCAAGAAATGTCTTCCTCGTCTCTCAATCCTAGTAACGGTGTCTCTTCAAACGTTATATCTTTAGATCTGATCAACTTATAATTGATTTTATCCCAAATCCTGTAGCCTTCATTTCCATCATAACCAATTAATATTCCTTTCTGAGCGTTTTGTCAAACTTCTTGCGACTTATTTTGGGAATGTGTGCATAAAATTTACAACCAATGATTCTAAGATGCTTTATATCAGGTTTTTTTTGAGCCATAATTCATAGGGTGACTTTCCTTCTACGCTTGATGGGCCAGTGCGGCTTAAGATATACGCCGTAGTTTTAACTAATTCCGCCCAAAGACCTTGAGGTATCTCCTCATGAGCATGCATCATAGATCGTGCTGCTTCTACTGTCGTCCGATTCTCTCTTTCGACGCATCCAGCTAGTTCGTGTATGTGGGGCATCGTTAGTCTTATGCCATCCTCGTGTAAGATCTTCCGGAGTTTCTCGTTATCGAATTCTCCCCCATTATCGCTCAGGATTTCTTTGACAGTGTGTCCAGCAACTTTGGCTTCAACTAACATCAATTTAAGCTTTGACCATGCTTCAGATTTCTGTTTCAGAAAATATATGTGTCGACAGCGAGTGAAGTGATCTTTAAACGTTAGATAATATCGGAACTTACTAATCGAGTACGGAAAAGGTCCACATATATCGGTATGAATTAGCTCTCCTAGCTGAGTAGCTTGTATTCTTGTACCAAACTTCAGTTTATGGGCTTTTCCATATACACAGCCTTCACACAGATCTGTTTGATTATCCTCCACTTTTAATCCAAATTCTTTTTCTATGACCTTTTTTACATATCTTTTATTCTGATGAGCCAGCCTCTCATGATAGACTTGTAGTGGATTTGTCATTGCTGCGTTAATTTCTGTCTTCGGTGACAGGCAATTAAGTTTTAATTTATATAGCCCTCCATTAATTTGTCGTGTACCAATTAATGTAATCCTTCCAGCCACTTTCAGTTTCAGTTACATATCGGGTTTTGACTCGAAGACTATTTGGTGAGTGGTCATGTGCAGCAAGAACAGAAAAAAGATTTATCTTGATTAATGGGATATACCATACATCTTTAAGTAAAATTTGCTCTCGTCTTCCAGAAACTTCAGTCTCAGCAAGGATATTTCCTTTTCCTAATGCTTCTATGGTTTGCCCATTGGCTGCAGTAACTGTATGTTGACCTTTAAAATATTCAAATGTCTCGTAAAGATCACCTCTATTCGTTACATGGTTTGTCGCACCATTGTCTACGAACCAGTTCTCTTTATCTGGGACTTGTGAGTTGTCAAGGGTCAAGACCTGTAGGATAACATTGACCTTGGTCGCGGTTTTGGGTGGCCTTCCGTCTGAAATTCATTTCTTGCACTGTCTTACTTGATGTCCAGGTAGTCCACAATATTTGCATTTCAATTATTTTTCTTTCTTTTTCTTACCTTTTGAACATTTCATGAATAATGCCTCACTGGTGCCGTTATCTTCAGTTTTGTTCTTTAAGGTTTTTTCATGGACACATATTTGGGTAGTTAGATTGACTATGGTTCTGTCTTTCTTAGTCATAAGTAGCCAGCTTGATTTAAAAGCGAAAAATTCTTCCGGTAAAGTGTCCAAAATCTTGCAGATCAGTAGCATGTCCGGTAATTTTGAATCTAACTGATAGTTCAATTCATGCCAGATATTTTTTAATGCAGAAATATAATTCCCCATGTCATTTGCTGTCTCTTTCTTATAACTGAAAAATTGTAGACATAGATCATAGCTTTTATTTTCACTATTTCCTCCATATAACCCATTGACTTACAAATAAATCAATGATATAACCTACTCTTCCCATACCTATTGGGAACTCGTCAAACGCATGACAAGATTTAAAATTTCATCTATCATATTTGTCATCATGAGTCATTTTTCATACTTAGCTTTCGCAATGTTTCACAGCCTCTGATGCCTCTGCAGCTGGTGTTTGCGGCCTACATCACCTGGCTTCGATGATATCTAAGGCTCCAGGGATGGCCTTAATAACAACCATTATTCTATACTAACATGATTTGAAGTTTTGTGAATCTAGGTGTCCTATCTGCACCCTAGATGCTTCTTCAATCGCCTTATCCATAGCGGTTGACAGCTGGTACAGATTTCACCATATGAATTTTTCTTTTCGTAAAAGAACGGAAACGGAAAAAATTCTTTCCCAGAATTAAACTTCTTTCCTAACGCTCTGTTACCATGTTAAAGATTTATAAATTAGATATATGGGATCGAATAAGAGGTAATAGAATAAACTCAGCACAGTTAAAGCAATGTATGTTTTACATTCAGTGACAACACAAGTTACTAGGTTACTATAGAAACTATCTTTATGGTAGACACAAAACACAATAAAGGCTTCATGCCTTAACACTAAGCTTTCGTTTAATGGGTATTGGTTAAACATTCAGTTACATTTTCTATATATTTTTTAAGATTTTTTCGAGTTGCGTCCTTGTTTGTGAGTGTTTAACGGTAATAACACGACTTATGGCAACAAACTTTAAGACACATTTCGACTTATTCCCTTAACTGCGACTGTTCTATCGTTATAACAATACTTATGATACTAACCACATTGATAAAAGGCATAAAACAGTCAAAGGAATAAAACGACAAATTTTACCAATAGCGACACGGTATAGTCGCGGGTATGATCAATCGCGTCCAGTGGAACAAACGGGATTCTCAGTTAAGTTGGAGTTGGTAGTGGATAGAAGATGTGGAAAGCTTAAGCTTGTTTAATTAACCTAGATAAACACAAATAAATAGATTTGTAAAGTACTTAGAGTTTTTCTTTTATTGACAGATTTCAAACATAACAAACAAACATGTTCTAGTTGTCATAGTAACCCCTTTTTTTCAAGTTATACCTTTATATACACTGTGGAATAAGGCAATAGTCGCTTTTCATCATCACAATACGTCATCTCAACAATACGAAAAGTGTCTTTATTGTAAAAATATATCTGTACTTATTCGTTAAACTTGCATATATTTTTTGAGTTGAGAGCACTTGCACCTTTAAACTCATAAAAAATGCCCGAAAACTAAAATTTATGTGTATAAAAGAGTGAGTTATTATGCCCTTAGTATACTAAATCTATGTATGTACCATAGATTTAGTATATGTATAATATACTAAATCTATGGTATGTAAAATAAGGAAAACGCTTAGACTAAGGAAACTTAACTATTTTATTTTTTTTCCATCCTCTAAGGGAAAACGATATGATATAACGATATGTTATATAATAGGACACTGAAGCCAATGGTGAAATAGAGACAAAAGGGCATAACTCGTCTTATTCCGTTTTTCATTGGAGGCACTGAATTAATAGAAAGATTGTTTTCCATCATAATAATATAATCCTAACATAGATAGTTTGGAATATATGAAGAGGCTGTATGGCGGAACCTTTGCCTTCCCAAATAAGCAAATGTTAAAAAAAAATTAAAAAGCTAGCAATACCGAAATAGCCGAAACTCCATTTATTTTGATCACAATTTGATCTATAAAAACATCACGAACTGAGTTTGTTTGTGAGAGCCATGTCTCTCTGTGGATTCGTTTGTGATTTAGTAGACTTAAATTGAAATGAACTGCTTTTGACCTTTCATGCTCAATGTCATTCGTACTTCGTACATCTACCTACTCTACTACATTACATTTTGATGAAAAGATTGGTAAGCAAATTATTTCAACGCTTTTACTCCTGTAGGAAATTCTGAAATTAATAGGACTAAAAACGTGGTTCGGTCAAGAGCACGAGCAAGAGCTTGACATTTTGAACCGTTCTTACAGCAAGCGGCATAGAGTTGAATTTGAATCTAGCTTGACGTACTCTTGGTCCTGTACTAAATTCTTACTGTAGGTATTTAAATTTTTGTTACAGACGTTCCCCGACGTCATGATTCGTCAGGGGAGTATAGACGATATAAACACTCAGCAATTTTTGAAGATATCCAACTATGAAGACACTGTTAGGCAACTGGATATATACTATGCTATAGGTAAAACAATATAATAAATTTCATTGTATGTATTATCAACATCTCCACTTTAATCTTTAAGCAATCTATTTGTTCTGAAATGAATGTACCTTTTGTACCTGTCTATAATTTTAAGTACAGAAGTTTATGCATTTTTGTACAGCTATACGCCTGCTTCTACTATTATGTGAGTAAATAAATGTGATGTGGAATAATATTTTATCAATTATCATTAGAAATAAATTATATATAAACCATTGTAACAAACAGTTGATTTCATTGTACCACATTTTATATTACACAATATCTGAAATGAACACTATGAATAAAATAATTAAAATCTTGTTGCAGTAAAAAGACAGCTACTAAGATTTCAAAGTCCGATCACAGGACTGTTTCCTGTTCTGTCTTCCGATCTTCACATAGGTAGTGTGAGGGACAGCATATACTGTGCTGCAGCAGTATGGGGACTTTATCAAGCTTACAGGTACTGATGTAATTAGTTTCTTATTGGTTTTTTACAAGCCCCTTAGGAGCACCATTTGCGTAAATATTTTGAGTTGATAAATTTTTTTTTACAATACTAAGTGACAGGATGAACAAGTAGTGCGCCTGGTGATAAGCGACCTACATATCCATAATAGTTGCAGTGCCACTCAGAGGTTCTAGCAATAGCAAAGACCTTAGGGACACTGCTACTGTGCCGGTCACTCTGAGATGTAACTTGACAAGTCCCAGGTGCCTGTAATATCACTAGCACCCTTATCCTTCCAAACCGGAACACAGTAATGCTCACATTACTGCTTGGCTGCAGAAATAGATAAGGTGATAGTACTTTCCTGAATTAACCTTTCAAGAGGAGCTGTACTGCTACTAAATTATGAATAATGAATTATTATTAACAGTCCAGCTGCTGATTTGTCTCCTGACACTGACTCAAATCCCAAGGATAAATTTGCTTTTAACAAAAATTTAAAATATGACAACTGTTTGATCAATATCCCATAAACACGGTACACAAAATAATTTTGAAGATTTTGACTTGATATCTCATCACATTTTCCTACAATATTCATTAGAATAGCATTGTAAAATCGTATTTTAATAGTGTTAGTCTAAAAGTGAGATTATTTTTCAACTATTCAACTATGACTTGTCTATGGTTCCATAGTCCTGTATGAAAAAAACTTTTGGTTTATTCAATTAAAGTTTTTGTAATAGATTAGTAAATCGAATATTTTAACTGCAAACAATGAGTATTTATGTGTAAGGATTTGAAGGAGGATTTAAAATTATTATTTAGGAAATTTTAAATATGCTTATGTAGTATACATATAGATTATGTAAGGAAAACCACTAGTATGACTCAATTAAACAAACCAATTCATTCAATTAGGTAATTAATCAATTTGTAGTCACAGTGTCAGTCACTTGCTTGTTTATATTTTGTGCAAAATGGATTGAAACGAAGTTTTACGAAAATTGTGATTCAAAGTAAAAGTAATACTTTAATTTCAGACGTATAGACGATGACAGAGGAAAATCATATGAGCTAGGTCAAAGCACAGTAAAATGTATGCGTGGTATTCTAGAATGTTGGGTGAAGCAAGCAGCGCGTGTAGAAGCATTTAAGACGCGGCAGAGCGCTGCTCATGCTTTACATGTAAAGTTTCACCTTACTACTGGTGAACCTGTAGTTAGTGATGAACAATACCATCATCTGCAGATTGACGTCGTCTCATTGTATTTGCTGTTCTTAGTACAAATGATCACCTCAGGATTGCAGATTATTTACACACAGGTTAGTCTTATATTATTTTTTCATTGCTGTATTTTAATTTCTTTCAGTATCACAAATGTTTGTGAACTGTTTTGATGCATGAGGAGTAATTAAATAAGAATGTTTTATTTGTTATTATTCAGCAGCTACAATTACCTGACCACTTAAGGTTAAGTTGTCATATTAATGAGAGTAACAATGCAGCATGTTTTTGTTATAGGATGAAGTGGCATTCATACAAAACTTGGTGTACTATGTGGAGCGCGCATACAGAACCCCAGATTATGGTATGTGGGAACGAGGCTCTAAATATAATGATGGCAAGCCTGAAATTCATGCCTCTTCTATTGGTAGGTTAATACTTTAATTTCTTCCGAAATATTCATTTTTCAACTATGGCTGACTGAATAAAAAATATTTTACTGTTTAATAATTTGCTATTGCAAATTAGAGTTGTGTAAATGACGTGGGCTTTAATTGTTGACAGGGAATTTTTGTGTTTGTCTACAACTAGATATTGGCCACCAGACAATACATTTTATGTGTTAATGTTACTAGTTTTCCACACAAATAATTCATTAAACAAAAGAATTGTGCAATATCTTCATTGCAATATCGTTATATTTTTTAAGGAATGGCAAAAGCAGCACTCGAGGCCATAAACGGCTGCAATTTGTTTGGAGACAAGGGCGCATCATGGAGCGTCGTCTACGTAGATATAGACGCTCATAATCGTAACAGGAGCATATTTGAAACTATGTTACCGCGTGAATCGAGTTCTAAGGTAAGTCTAATGTGTTGAGGAACTATACCATTCCAGTGTGAAATTAAATATTTTTTCCTGGTTACGGCCTTGAAAGGTAACTTTTTACCCCAATATCCTGTGTTAACTTGTCAATTCTAAATTTTTTTAAATGCATAACGGAATTATTTAAGAAATTGAAGACTTATCAGGGATATTTGTAAAACACTAACAACGTTCCAAGACTATATTACTAATATCATAAACAATAACTTTTGTCCTATGGTAGTTAACCAGATATTCGACCACCTGTAACATCAGGCCAGCGCACTTGCATTTGAAAACATGCGCCGCGTGAATTACGACGTAACCGCTAACAAAATTATTATTTTACGTACCAATTATTATTCATTTTTAGGCCCAACGTTTTTAACTTTGGACGTAGTTCTTAAGAAATCTATTGTTGAAATTTAATATAATTATAATTTTCTCGTTTTTACTTCACCTCCACTGTGGCCACCCTATGATTCCCATGACTTTTTTACAAAACAATAAATGTACCAAGTATACATTTTAAAGTTTTTGTTGTACTATCTGACTTTCTAAATCTCTATCTGGTAGTAAGGTAGTTAGTTCAAACGTGAAAGCGTCCTCCCCGATAACTCCCGCCTTGGTCCTACGTTTTACCGTTTAGAGGATCTATTTGAATATTTTTATTTATGTATAGAAGTAAAATGTGATGAATTGTTAGAAGTTGTTGTTTATGAGTGACTGCCAGGACTAATCTGCGAGGTTGTTAATACTTTATTAATAACCCTGTATAGGTTTGTATTTGTTGCCTAGTTACGTGATAGATTCTCGCGTGCCTTATTCAATAAATCGGTTGTATATTCTAAACAAAGGAGCAACTAATTCTAAAATGTTGCGACTAGAACCGACTAATTCGCGACTTTTTCTGGGTGCAATCAGATCTAAGCCAAGAGCCGTGGTTCCCGAGATTCAAAAATGGTGCCGCCAGAATAAGCTTATTCTATCGTGGACAGTAAAACACCTTAATAACTTCAAAACGGCGTAACGACTATATCTAGTTTTTACGACTAGAACCGACTAAATCACGACTTTTTTTAGTGTAATCAGATCTATATTTATATTTATTTTATATTTATATTTTATATTTAGATCTGAGAAATGGTTCCTCTGGAATAAGCTTATTCCAGGCAGCGTGGACAGTGAAACACCCTTATAACTTTTGAACGGCGCGGACAGACTAAATCTCATTTTTTGCGCTTAAAACCGACTAAATGCGACTTTTTTCTGGCTAGTCAAATTTCAAAAACTCGACCATGGTCACGCTTTAATAAGGGATGCTAGATGCTCTGTTATGTGGTCAATGCTCACTCAGTGGTATAATTTAATGTTTTGTTTAATAAAAGGGAGTCGACGCTGCGCTTCTACCTACAATATCCTTCCCCGCTTTCGCGACTCATGAAGAGCATTTAGTGCAATTAACAAAGACTAACATTTTGCGGCGTTTACAAGGCCGTTATGGTTTCAAACGGTTTAGTCGTGATGGATACAAATGCGTTCTGGAAGATCCGAACAGGCGGTATTATAATGAAGGGGAATTAAAGGAATTCGACGGTATCGAATCTGAGTGGCCTTTGTTCTATGTTATGATGATAATTGATGGAGTATTCAAGACATTACCTGATCAAGTTGAAGAGTATCAACGATTGTTGAAGGCAAGGATATACATGGATGAATTTGGAGGTTCAGTTGTATTTTATTTTTTTTTAATTTTGTCAATTGTTGAAAATAAACGTTTAAATCTGAAAACCACGTAACTCAGTTTTTGGATGAATTTTTTTATTCTTCAAGCACATTATCGGGCAATTAAATCTTGAAATATAATTTGAAGACACTTTTTTAATTATAAAATAAAGGTATAAATATAGATTGCCGTATAATTTTATTAGTAATTCTGTTTTTTGCCTGCTAAAATAGTACTACTAAATAGTTCACATTAATGGAGGTTACGAGTTTTACGAATTCAACATTTACAAAACCAAAATATTACTTGTCTTTGTGGTCATGATATCGAGTTCCTAGGTTTGTGACGTATTGGAAATAAAAATATTTTTTTCGCTTTAAATAGCCTATATTTGTTTTTTTTTGTTTTTCAAACAAACCAATGTTTCGGGATCTTTATAGGCCCCATGGTCTCGGCTGACTGTTTAAGTGATGTTTTATAATTTTTTTAGATCCAGTTATTCCATGGTATTACTATGTACCACGGGAAGGTATAGAAAATGAACGCAATGAACCATATTCCGTGCGAAGGGTCCCTGCTAGTGAGTATACAGTTCTCTTTTTTATAATATAACTTTTTTGTGATGTCCACGTATTGAGCCTTTAATGACAACTTAACCAAATTAAAATTAGACAGTTGCAGAATATTTAGAACAATAAACATAATAATGTAAATCGATATATAATAGTAGGCTTACTGGGTTTGTATATTTGCCGGTATATAAATACATAATCCCAAAGCTTTTCAATTCCAAAAAATCGTACGGAGAATTTGATAAGAACCTTTCTTGAAGGCAAATACATCAACATTTTTAAGTTGTTAAAATATTGATGGATCTGCAATGATATTTAAATTAATGTTATACAATTATGTAATATAATAATTATCTTTCGGATTTGATCAAAATTATGAAATTACAGGCCAACCCAGCGATGATAACAAAGGTAACAATGTCCAGGCATTAAGATTGTATTTTCTTTGACTAATTACTTGTTTCTTCTTGGTATTAACAAATGTAGATAGATCGCTTTCGCTATTACTTAATCTCTTATGTATTGATGATAATGTAAGGTTGTATTTGGTGGATAAACGTATTTTCGACTTTGTAGCAACGCGACAGGCGACAGCGTCGCATATATTCACAATTAGAAATGTCTCGCGACCTTAGCAGTGCGTAGTCAAAATCGTAGGAAATAGAAGACTCACGAAATACAAGTACCATGAAATAGAAGTGTCACGAAATAGAAGAAGTGTCACGAAATAGAAAAAGTGTCACGAAATAGAAGAAGAGTCACGCTGCCCTCATCTGGAACGTGTATTGCGCTACTGCCTTTCCCTGCTCTCGAGGGTATAAGGCGAGCCATTTACGCGCAGCGCATACGACGTTTCTGGGCCGAGCTGTGAACATGATTTCATACGAATATGCTAATCCAACACAACTACTTTTTGTTGTTCCGCACCATTGACCTACCAACAAATGGACATCGGGTTCGCGCTAAAAAATTTCCGCACCTATAGGGCGTTAAAATCACATAAAGAGCATCAATCGCGCAACAGTCTTCGTTTGTTGGACTGACAGCGCGGTTGTCAATCATGCAGTACCATATAATAATAACTTGTAAATATTACTGCAGTAAAGTGTAAAAACAGGATTTTGTATCATATTTTCACTAAACAAATATATTGTGTTATCATAGTTGTCATTTAAAAGTGTTCTTTTGTACAGTTTTATATTATTTAATTTATATATAAATGAATCGTAAATATAAATTACAAAAAAATCAAATAGTTAACTAACCTTTTTCTACACGTTGCATGCGCAAAAGATGGAAAGAGACCCATTACGTGAATTTCAAGAAGCTTATATACATTTCATGGTCATTTTCAATTGCACGAGCCACAAGCGATTCAAATATTTAGAACAAAGAAACTATAGAGTCGCTTTGATTTAATCTTATTTTTAAAATGATTTTTTATTAAACGTTAGCATTATCGAACGAAATATTGTTGTACTCGTTTTACGGCTTGGGATTACCTATCAGAAGTCAGAAAGTACATTTGCCCGAATTAACGTGTACAAAATTCGACATAATAATATATATTTATAAAAATGAATTAATATTTACGATAAAGGCTATTACTATTGTGTTCAAGTAATTTTCAATCGAAGCTAAATATGGTGCATTTTGTTAAATTTCCAGTAGAAGCTGAATATGGTGTTTTGGGCCCTTAAATTGTTGCAAGCATAATTAGGCAGTACTGCAATGACGTTACAATTTAAATTAAATGTTTTAGTTTTTTATATTTCGTTACATGTCACTACGTTTGTATAAGTTAAACTCAGACATTTTTTCGTGGTTTTTGTATTAGGCCCGACGTCAATTTGTTGGTAGGTCAATGTTCCGCACGCAAAAAATAAATTCTCAGCGCCTTAAGCTAGTTTAGGTAATTACTAGTGTTGCAACGAATAGTGTATTCGGCTTCTGAACAAATACCGAATATTCGAACAAGAGCGTGGCCGAAAAGTCGAGTATTCGGCCAAACTATTCGGCCTTATTAACACACATAAATTGGCCCGAAAAATGCCACTTCAGTTATGATAAATAATTTTGTACAATGAAACAGAAAATGTCTTTTAATTTAAAAGAGTCTATACTACCTCACCTCGAAATATTTTTTTCAAAAAAAAGGTTAATTTCGTTTGGGTCGAGCGACAGGAAGTGTCCTCCGGCTTTGTTTCAGAATTTTTTTTTTACAAACGAAATTAAAGTCATTTGAAAAATGTATATCATATACTGTACATGCTCTGATATACAAATAAAAATTGGTATATTATGATTATACCTATTGAATACAACGGTTTTCGTGTAAAATTTGTGTTGTTTTTTTTCTATCGTGAAAATTTTTAGGAATCGTGTTTACACACCGCATACTGATCAGAGCATTGTATACTCAATTTTACTAAATATTTCATCCAAATTGATTGATTAACACTTTCACTGTTATGCGGAATCAACCAAAGCCATTTGAGATTTTACATAGACTCTTAGGAAGAAAGTAATTATAATATTTATTCCACCTCAGCTTGGTTAACCTTCAAGAGCTTAATTTTGTTTTAGTTTGCAAATAATGAGTGTTTGGTTGATTTTGTTACATTTATTTAGTCATGAGTAAACTACATAATACCTAGGTATGTTTCATTTGTCAAGTTACCTTTTTCAATCTCTTAAAAAAATATTTGATCTTTTTTAGTTATATTGCGTTTTATTTCCTTTGATCTTTTACATAAAGAAACGAAAAATTGCGCTTTCGCGAACTCACAATGTATGTTCAGCATCAATAAAATTTACATGAATTATTTTTTCTTATTTCTTCCTCCTATTTGTTGGTATTCGACCGGATAGTGTAACATGACTAATACTAATACCGGATAGTGACATGATTAAAATCAGCCGAATACATAACAGTAACCGAATATTCGTCAACTCCAATTTCCAACTTCTTCGGTGCACCAATTATCAAACATATCAAGTAATGTACTTACCTACCGCTTACTACTTTACTCGTATCAGTCGGTCAAGGAGAAAAGGCACTGTCCCCACTTTGCTTTCGATTAACTAAGCTACTGCAAATATACTGCCTAATTACGTATACGTATGTAATAGACATCAAGCTGTAAAAGAGTAATTGAAATGTTTATATCCGCCAAATAGGACTTTACGATAAAAGTAAATAACTTCGCTTAGAGAGTAGGCGATGCATACAGCTACTTAATGTGAAATCAAGACACTCATTTGCATTAATAAAAAACTGCTTTCTGCATTTTCGACTATTCGTTTTTATAAGTTACTCCGATATCTATGTATGTCATTTAGGTCCAAAGGAGATCCGCCAAATCCCATACAAAATTACCCCAGGCCCGGCGCCAAAATAATGTAACTCAATTTTTAGAGTAAAAATAGCAAAAATATATAGTTTCGGTATTGCTAAATTCACATGCTAACATTGTCTTTTTGCCCGTTGAATTTTAATAGGGGCTCTTTGTAAAATTATATTTTTTAGAGAAACGTCGTCATTTTTAGTTCATTAATCTTGTAATTAGTCATTACGGCATATAAGCATGTATGTACTGTACTGTGAACTATGAAAAAATAAATTAGATGTTCGAAACTACGTGTAAAATAAAACACTTAGTATGGTTATAAAATAATATATATTTTCATTTTCTCGACAGAATATATGTTTGATGGACTTAGTTTTCTAAATCAACTAATACAAAATCTAAGCCTAGAGCTGGGTGGTCTAAATCACGTTCATTGTGTCTAGCCCAACCCAAATAGTACATGACGCTTATTACATGGGCGCAACTTCCCAGTGTTCTGTTCCCGTGATAACAGGAACAGTAATGTTCTTTCACTGCCTCGATTCCAAAAACCGCAGTATTAAATAACAAATAGGTATAATAAGTTTTTGATCTGACATGACGTGAATTAATTCTGCAGCGAATCAGTACGTCGTTGTTTGTATGCGACTGTGACCTTATAACTCGATCATTTATTATATTTGTTCTGAGTGTCTGTAAACCTCGATTTCATATACGCCATTCTCTTCGTGTGTTCGCTGCAGTACGAACGTGCTATTTTGAGGTGATATGTGCCTATAGCGAATTTTATCAGATCTTCGTACGTCAGCTCCGGAAAATCTGATACTTCTGGATTGTTTGCGTCCAGTCTAGTAAATGATGCTCTTTGCCTGTTCAAGTTGTTTTCTAAAACATACGCGGCCAACAGATTTGTTTTATGTATGTTGCGGTTTATTGATGCAATAAAATCATCAGTAAATCTACTGTCTTCGTAAGGCTCCTGAAAGCAGTTTATCAAAGCCGCTGCTATTTTGAAATCTGTGAATGTTTTCGTCAAGGTATTGTTAAACATTCTGTTGCGGAAGATTTTAAAGCTATTTTTAAACTTGCCATTCACAGTTTCTACAACCCAACGACACATGGTTATTAGTGATTTGTTGGCCTCTTCTGTAGTGAGTTGAGTTTCATTTAATAATAATAATAATAATATGATTGATATACATGCTTATATGCCATAATTATTTATTACAATGTTAATGAACTAAAAAGGACTACGCTTCTCTAATAAATAGAATTTTTCATAAAGCGCCTATGAAAATTCAACAGGCAAAAAAACTATGTTAGCACGTGAATTTAGCAATACCGAAACTATATAATATTATTGCTATTTTTACTCTAAAAACTGAGTTACATTATTTTGGCGCCGGGCCTGGGGTCATTTTGGCGGATCTCCTTTGCAGTTTAGTAAAGTGTGGTTGAGTGTACATAAACTTTACAAAACACGTTTTTTTATATTATAGGGTGACAAGTTACTTTTTGACCCTGCTGAATAATATAGAATTTAAGGGTATTATGCAGTGTTAAGGTTACCACTCCGCAATTTGAATAATCCGGAGAAAAGCCTGACATTGAGTCCGGACTTGAACAAAATAGAATCGAAAATCTCCCTCTCTCTCACGCGGCAGCAGAGAAAGACATACGTCCGGGCAACAAAATTTTGTCGTAAATCGAGTTTACTACAGAATTGCGAGCCGAAAAATCCGGTCAAATTAATTCACACTAAAAGTCAAAAAGCCGGACATGTTTAGACAAATCCGGATGGATGGTAACAATATGCAGTATTGACTTTTGACGTTTGTGTCTGTATTGAAGTATTTTTTTAATTCTGCATAATCGTAAAGTTCCAAGTCTAACATCGCAGCGTTTCAAATTTATAAGATATCTGTCTGTGTATATTAATTTATGAGGATATTGAATCTTATTGTTGATTGATTATTGCTAATTGTTTTTACAACTTGTAAATATTTCATTTTCATGATGCAGTAACAGTAGAATTTATTTTGTAAATAAATTAAACCGGTCCATACAAATAAATCTATTACGAGCTTGTACTAGCATTTTATATTCGTTATATAAATTGATTTTATATTCATTCTTTATTATACCAACATGTGTTACTAAAACTTTAGTGACAAAGGGCAAAAAATTGATTTTGTTTCTATAATTAATAAAAATTTATTAGTATGTAACCTTTCATGCCCATAAAGTTCTAAAACAAGAATATTACACATTCACCTATAAAAATATAACATCCAGCAAATTAGCTTAAAACAGTTAAAATTCGTTCATGCAATAAACTTGCCCTGCTACCGTTATAAGGGTACTTTATCATTGATCTTGCAAATTTCCATCGCCAGATACCGGAGGTCTATTCCTGTGGGCGCAATCCCTCTTTGTCCTAGCTCAACTTTTAACGGGCGGATTGTTGCATATGAACGAATTGGATCCAATAAGACGATATCTACCCTCGTACAATCGACCTAGACGTGCTGGCCGATATTCTGCGTTCCAGGTATGAATATTTAAATTTAAGCATAAACTAGTTTTTACGATTATATTATAATAATAATATAACTTCAGATAGCCAGGATCTATTGGTTAGTATTACAAATATTTTAACAGCTATTGTTAGTAAACAAATGAATTTATATTAAATGCACTATACAAATATGTAACCAGTCAATGACCATATAAATAAATAAATATTAGACAATATCACGTACGTTGCTCTGATCCCAAAGTAAGTAACTAAAGCACTTGGTGTTACGGAAATTGGAAACTACGGTACCACAAACACCCAGTTCCGAGACAATATAGAAAAGTTAGTTTTTCATATTAACCCGGCCGGGAATCGAACCCGGGACCTCGAGAGACGGCGAAGCCATGAACACCGGTGTGCAAGCCACTCGACCACAGAGCTCGTCAAAATATGCTTGTGTACATAGTCATTAACTGGTTTATATGCTTGTGTGTGAGGGAATCGGATTTACCGCAAATACCTCAAGAATACTGTTGGTGCTGATCCGTAACCTGATCGTCAGCGTGGCAGCTCTCTTGAGCACGATAGCTTGAAATTCATCTATGCGTGTTTCTGCGAACATTTTTGATGCGCTGCAGAAGCGGTGCAGCCCCATCAGCGCTCCAAAACCATTATTATACTGAACTCTGAGGGCACTTCGGAGGGAACTTCTGAGTACAGAGGCTGCTGGTATAAAAGCTCTGAAAGTATTGCTTAAACATATATCGTCCTGTTGTCAACCCTTTACACGCACAAGTTGATGGGCACCCAGGGTTAACCGGGATATACGCCGTCCTGCATTTTAAGCGAAAACGATTAAATTCACTAAAAATATTGACTTTAATCAAGTCGGCCTACCAAGATACTTGATGGAATCAATCACAACATGGTTAAATTTGTGCTTGATAAGCTCAGAACATGTTACAAGGAACAAGTTATACGATCACCTTAAACAACATCTTGTTTTTCAATTACATTGTTTTTTCAGTGTAGAGCTGAGTAAAAATGAGAATGAGAAAGGCAATATTTACACCGTTCCGTTTAGTTACATAAGTTTGTTACTTTTTCGTCGGCTGAAAACAAATCGAACGTAGCTTTCTGACATTCAGGATGTTACGCCATAATTCCTGCGATTAGGGGCATTTGTTCAGTATATCTGTTATTAAATAATTATAACATTCGTGTAAAGCATCATATGCAAAAAGCGGTCTAAAGACCGAACCCATCGACCCGGGCGGGATGATGTCGGCGGCCTTGTTTCTAGAATCATGTCATAGGATTAGATTAGAAGTAAGACCGTCGACACCAATACTGTGTCGCCGGGTCGGTGGCTTCGGTCCTATATACTAACCACTAGTTACAGATTTCTTGCCACGTTATACCTTCCGTCAACTCGTGACCATGGAGCGTGTAACTGTTCTGAAATATCGAGGAAGTAAATAAAGTCGTGATAAAAAACCTGCACTATACTAAGTGCAATTTAGCATGTCGATGGCGATCGTTCACCTCCTCCTACTACTGTAAAGGTTATTTGTGAAAACGATACTCTATAATGTTCCCAGTAATGTGTACAAGTAGTATTGTTAACGTATCGTGGTTGAAATCACCTTGACGTACAGATGAACTCGAGCATTGTAAACTTTTAAATATTTTTATTGTAATGAAACATTATTTCAATATTTTTCCTTTATTTTTTCAAATAATGTATAATAAAAAACGTAATATAAATCCTAAGCAGTACCGTCTGATTTTAGAATCCGATCCGCGTCGCTAAACCTAAAAGTGGTATTACTTTTTGCGAAAAATAACAAAGTAAGTTAATAAAATAAATCAACACCAAAATTCGATAATTCTCGGAGTAGTATATAGTTTTGTATTAGGAGGGACCTCAATTTATAAGAGAAGACTTTCACTTTCAGAAGTGTTATATAGCATTGGATCTTATTGTACTTATATATTACTATTGACCTGTAATACGGGCTATTTTTAACTATAGATAGTAAGTTTCCCTACAAAATCATGATATTAAATTAGTATGCAAAATAATTCTGGCTATAATTATACGTTTTCATACACGAGACATTTATTATATTTGTTAATTTTTAGTAAAATTCACAAATATTTTGTAATTTTATTCAAAATCTCTGGACACATTTTACTGATTTCTGAAAATTATACTCAGAAATCGAGTATTATGGTCCACTACTCTAAATTCAAAATTGTTTTACTTTCATGCAACAATCACAGGCCAAGCCAGCGTTTGTAAGTATTAGGCATTATGGTAGCAAAATTAATAGTAGCATGCTACGCAAGTTTCTGCTATTTATACTCCTGTTTGCAGATTTATAACTTTTTGCATGAACGATATATCATTTAAACTTTTAGCTTTTCTGAAAACTTCGTTGATTTTCTTTGGCGATAACAGTGTGGTAGAGAAATATTTAATTTCCTAAGAAAGCAATAAAAGCCATAATGTATAACGATCTCTAGCTATAGTGTAAAAGGAGTTGTAAATTTAGTCGCCACATAATTATTTGCGATAAGAATCTCAAGAGAGCTCATTTTGAACGCAATGTAAAGAATCTTGCAATAAATCAGGTGCACGATACCTTACGCATTCGATTTGGCAGTTTTAAGGCAATAGAATTATGGGCAATTGATGATACACTTAAGTATTTTATGAATGTGTAGAATCACGAATTCATCATACATTTTTGAATAATTGGAATTTTATGATATAAACATCACATTCTTCATCCATTAAATAAATTCTATTATGCATACTTGCATTGGATATTTATTCGTCCAATGCAAAAATTAAGAATAGCATGACAAGATAAAAATTTCATTTATTTTGGTAATTTTTTTACTGCACTGTGGTAAGGATGTTTTTACGTGTACAGGGTATAGCGACAGATCTGGTAGTACAAGTGGTACTAATCGCCGAATCCATGCGTTTGCAAGCTATGATGGGCACGTACGGTATCCAGACTCAGACTCCACATGAAGTTGAACCCGTTCAGGTCAGTTCTTGCCGCCTCTTGTGTGTTAGTAATAAACGTTCAAGTTGTAGTCATTTCAAAAACCAAGTCCTGTATCCGCTTTGGGAGGCTAGTGTGGTGGACTACGCACCTAACATTCCTGAAATTTTCGGGTGTGGGAATAACAACTCGAAAGTTTCAATATACACGGGACAAACATACATAGGTCATACATTCATTTTTATGCATACAATTTTTTTTGTATGTTACCAAGTGACGGAACTAACAAGTCGGTCACCTTGCAGTGCCACTCAGAGCCTTTAAATAGTTCTGAGGGGTACTGCCATTGCGCCCGTCACTCTGAGACAACTTGACAAGTCCCATGCGCCTGTAATTTCACCAGCACCCTTTTCAAAACAGGAACGCAGTAATGTTCACTGAGATGCTCGCATTGCTGCTTGGCGGCAGAAAGATGTACCTAACTCTATCATAAGGAGCTCTACTGCTACTAAAGTCAAACATATAATGTAATTGACGAAGACAACCTTGACAACAAAATCTTCTTTTACTGGATTGTTATTTTTTGTTTCAAATTAAACTTATATAGATCATTAAAATTATATAGATCGATCTTTATAGGTTTGCAGTTCTACGCAATTGGTACACGTATACAGAGAATTAGGAGTTTGCCAGAAGTTAAAGCTTACAGGACGACCTATTAGACCTGTTGGGTCATTGGGCACTAGTAAGGTGAGAGCTAAGTAGGTATATTCTATGTAATAGTAAAAAACGTAACTTGTCGTCATTGTGTGTCTGCTTTGGTTGACGATAATTCAGATCAGCTGTTCTTTGATATATGGTGCATGTTATATAATTGACGAAATATATTTTATCACACAAAAAGTAGTACATTTGAGGCTATCAGCGCAAAAGTGGTGTAACCCGAACTTTTTTTTCTCTTCCACATTACTTTAAATGATACTAAAAGCCTAAGCAGACGGCGTATTTCAAACGCGCTCAAACATCGCGTTGCAAGCAAGGAGCTTACATACTCCACTGGAGTTTACACTTAGACTTTCATTTAGTTGATTAATTTCTAAAATTTTGCTGAAATTAACAAACAAGACTAAAATGAAATCTATCTATTTTATTTAAAACTGCGATACGTACGCGCGACTACAGCGCGTCTGCGGCGCGTATACGCGCAGATGACGCGCGTTTATGGCGCGTGTAAAACATGCCGTGTGCGTAGCCTCTAAAGTAGGTACATAATTATTGTATATTTTTGGATGCTAAAATAATGGATAATAAATATATAATGGTCATATATTATGATTACCATGTATAAAATTAATTTGGCTAATTTTAAATCTTCTTCTATATCTGCCCTGTTTGTCATAACTAACATATTTGCATTTTGGTAACTTTCGAGATATTAGCACCTAATGTCAGTTATGCTGGTTTTGCTTAACAATAAAACTGAAACTAAATATATAAAAAAAACCGCTTATTAGGAGGTTGTAGATTTCTTTTTATTGATTCTGAAAATGTGAAAAGAAAAAAGTATAAAAACAAAAAAGAAAACCGTTTTTTTATCAATAAATTAATAATATCAATTAATTAAAGAACTGTTTTGTTTTGTTTCAATGCATTACGGCTAAAATAAATGACTTTACACTTATCAATACTTACTTTTTCAGATTTATAGAGTATGTGGAATGACAGTTCTCTGCTACCCTCTCATATTCGAAGTGTCGGAGTTCTACTTGTACCGAGATATGGCTCTCCTTATAGATGATATAAAGACGGAACTACAATTTGTTGGGAAGTAAGTATAGTATAGTAAGTAAGTATACCCGTAGAGTAACTATTATGACGACTGCTGACTTGATCTGTAGCTGTAGTTGGTAAGAGCGGTAGCCACGATGTGCCTCATCTGGCTGGTTGAGGTCCAGCCGAATTGAAGGAATTTTGCTTTGTGTTTGTTCGATCTTTGTTCAATAATAATAACTGAGTGTTAGTGGAGTATTTTTACAAAAATATATGAAATTCATAATCCATAATTCAATAAAATAAATAAAGATACCTTTTTAATTAGCCTCACCAATGTTACGGCCTTGATAAGGGCTTGTCGCAACATTTTCATACAATTGGATTTTATTTATACTGTTGGATTCTACTAATTTCTACTACATAGTTGGAAAGAACTATAATAACATTTGAACTTGATTGTCATCCAACTACGCCTTAAGACCAGCATAATCGGCGGACGGCAGGGCAGAGGTCATTAAATTTATGAATGTATATTTTATTCTATTTAATTTTTTTTTATGGCAAGCCACACATACGTAATTTAAGTTAAATTAAAATGTAGTTCCAGTGGGAGGGCAATTTTTACTTTTATTTAAATTTTATTTTATTCAAATTTTCAATTTTAATATTAATTTATTTCAATTTTAATGTTATTTTTACAGTAGGTATATTATTTTATTACATTTATAAGTGTTAAATTCTGTAAACTAACATAGGACATAAGGTTTCTGTAAAACTAACAAGGGAACCTACGTTGTCTCTTATAAAAAAATATTATTATTATTAACGCCCTCAGCCTTGCCGTCCACCGGTTTACGTAGACCATAATAATAAAAATAATAGTAATAATAATAATAATAGTAATAATAATAATAATAATAGTAATAATAATAAAAAACTCTTCATACCGCCTTAAAAATGATAGATCTGCACCCTAAAACCTATATACCTCTACAAAAGTAAATTGCTCGAGAGTCCGCCGCTTCTTTAACATGACCTCACTCCAAACATTTTGTTGTCGCTCTCGCGTAAGTCGCGCCCTTTCGTGCTAGTGCTACTGATACAACAAACTCCACACAAAATCACCACTCACTCTCATCCCATCAGAATAACACAACCGAACCAGATAGTTGGCTTAGGTCCGTACCTGGGGGTGTACTCTCGGTCTCCGTCCGACATCCGTCCGAAACGATTACTGTCAAATAAGTAATATTCGACAAAAAATTAAAAGACAAGTATCAAGAGTGAAGCTTCACTCGCATCACGCGTCTTTTCATTTGCTCAAGTATTGCTTATTTGGCAGTAATTGTTTCGGACGGATGTCGGGTGGAGATCGAGAGTAGACCCCCTGGTTCAATATCCGACCTTGAGTCGAGTTCAAGAACAATCTTTGTCATTATTATATTAATAACATTTATTCACAAAAATAACATTTAGTGGTACATTGCATAATTCGATGCGGCACTCTCTACTTTGAGATCGAGTCGTGATTGTTTTGCTCATTTGTTTATTTAGGTACTGGCGTCTGTCTGGTCGACCGACAGTATGCCTCCTAGTGCGCGAGGAACACATGCGAGACCCCCACTTCAAACAGATGTTAGATCTCTTCGCGATGCTCAAAAAGGGACACTGTGATGGCGTCAAAGTCCGCCTTGGTCGATTGCAGAATTTGATTTCAAGCTCTTGTATGGGTAAGTCATTTCAGTCAACAAGATTTTTTAATTAATCGTTCTTAATTTTTTATAAATTATATCAAGTGACGGGACGAACAAGTACGCCTGATGGTAAGCTACACGCCCGTCTATAACAGTTGCAGTGCCACTCAGAGCCTTAAATCGCAAATATTTGAGGGGCACTGCCACTGCGCCCGTCACCCTGAGACATAAGTTAACAAGTCCCATGTGCCTGTAATTTCACCAGCACCCTTACCCTTCAAAACCGGAACACAGTAATGATTAGAAACATTTAGTTGCGCTGTCAAGTGGCACCTTGTTGTGTTTTGTATAAGTATTTATTGAAGATTCGTATACGTACCTACGTAAATAACTAAATTGTAATACCTACATTTTACTAAATGCACACATGTATGTAATCACAATACGTCTCTCATAACGCGCACACATAAAGCTACACGCCTGTCCATAACAGTTGCAGTGCCACTCAGAGCAAAGATTTGAGGGGCACTGCCACTGCGCCCGTCACCTTGAGACATAAGTTGAAAAGTCCCATATGCTTGTGAAAATGGAACCGCAGAAATGGTCTTATAACTGCTTTGCGACAGAAAAAGGTGGTGAGGATTAGGAGAGCCGATCCCAAAAGAAATGGGATATAAGGTCAGGACAAAGATTTAGCTGCGATGTTACTTGATAGAGGTGGGTAAGCTTCTAGGGAGAAGGTGAACTCACTTGTGAATTTCAGGTAAGGTTACACAGAAAAAAAGGATTTCTACTAATAAGAAAGAGCAATTTCTCAAAATATTTGCTAATTCTGAAAAAATATTTATTAAAAGTAATAAAATATTGTCACTACAAAAATACTGCTTATCTTTTTCTAATACAATTTTACTCTTAACTTTATTCTAACTTTGAGACAAATACGTTCACTTCAAGATTTTATTTCATTTCTAATCAATTAATTGGACATTACTTATATCAAGAAATTTTTACCTCTTACATCAAATTTAAATAATCTTAAATGAATTCAAAATTTCTTGGGTGTATTTTAAGAAAATATATTCTTAAACAAAAAATGAAGCAGTATTCTATTCAGATTAATATTCTAAATTCTAGAGTATATTCTTAAAGCAACATTTCGTTGCGTTTTCATAGTCAATCTTGTCGTGACATGTCGCCGAAGGCGCACGCGGTAACGATTACTTTTACTTGTGCTTGTAATCATAAACAGTCATTTATCCAAAGAAACAATACGCAGTATCTAGGTTGTTAGGGTGTTCTTTGTAGTCATAATTCAAGAAATTTGGTTACAGCATGAAATCAAACTATATACACTTGTAACAAGCATAACATGCAATTAGTTCCATCACGCCACTGCTAGATGGCATTAGATGTACTCTGAAACGCGCTATCGTTTTGTTAACTTCAATAGTATAAAGTCATCTCATATATTTGGAATTGTTAGTGCTTTCTGCCGCTGTAGCATTTATACGGCACTGGATGGTCCTCAAGTATTTGAGAGGATTCCATATTTCCATCCTGTTTCTGCTACTTTAAGGTTTGGCACTGCTGGGTCCATAACCCTGTAAATTTATCCTTTTTGATATTAGAAAACATAAATCTTCAGTCAAATAATTAAGTACCTCTCAATTTTTCATTCTTTTTTTTTTTCAAATCAAAATCGGACATTTCTAGTAACAAATAAATATTTTGTTGAATCTAGAGTGGCTTTGTGACTTGAAGTAAATTAATTTGCTCTTGGATTAAATATTTTTGTCTTGTAACGAAAATACACTTTTGAGACGTTTTTTTACTATTATCAAGTAATTATTCTCTAGCGTCTATAGGGAGAGAATCGTTTTGTTGGATTTAATAAATTTGTCTTCATAAAAAGAATTTTGTCTTTTTCTAAGTAATCTGTTTTTACCGTGTAATAAAATAATTAATTCTTCAAGAATTCCGCCACATGTTCAAATCAAACTTACCAACCTTTTTCAATTGCTTACTAACCAAATAAAAAAATCGGTAATTACGGATAGAAACATCGAACACAAAGTAAAATTCCTTCGATCTTACGAGACTTGAAAGAATTTTTCTTGGTCTTCGGTCTTTATATCAATGATAATAGCAAACTAGTCGAGTATTTCCACAAAATATCTATCAAACTCATAGTAGTTAAACATCATGATGTTCAATAAATGAATATTGCAAATCCACTTTCAGAGCATCTAGACTTCATGAGCCAAGGCGAGTTTCCATTAGAAATGTTCACACAATTCAAACAATTGGAACACGAGTACATTGGGTACCAATCCTTGACGGACGTGCCACGTACTCACACGTACCGAGAAGAAACGGTGTGTTACGACTCTTATAAACACCGTTCTACACCCGATGTGGTCTCAGCGCTGCGGGCTACGGATAATATATTCGCACAAAGTCAACTTTGGGGCATCCTTATGGAAAGAGAGGGACCGATGTATGAGGTACGTGACAAATAACGTACACACGCACACACTAATAGCCTCACGCTAGAGAAACCCTGTATCGTGGGTGCCATAACACACGCATAGGCAACCACAAATTACACCCAAACTCACGAGAGAAACAGATGTAGGCCTTACAAATAGTTATCCTGGCCCTGAAATCGAATCCGAGACCTCTGTGTGGCAGTCCAGTGTGGTAACTGTTCGGCCACTGAGGCAGTTACAGTGAGAAATCACGTATATGTATAAAATACTAATTGATGCCCGCGACTTTGTAGGCTACTCGAAGTAATCATTTTAATGATTACTTCGAGTAGCCTACTGTGCTATACTAATTTCCATTGTTTTTTGGTTCTCCATACAAACATTCATCCCCTATTTTACTCCCTTTGGGATTTATTTTTGTGGCAAATGTAGCTTACGTCCTTCTCCTAGGTCCCATCTATCTCTATACCAAAATTCATCAATATTGGTTCAGCTGTTTCGACGTGAAAATGTGACAGGCAGAGTTAGTTACTTTCGCATTTATAATATTAGTTAGTTGCTAAACAAAGTTAATATTGTACTTGATTTAGCAAGTCTACGAATCTTTTTCAGATACACTTCCTTAGGGTTGTTTGTAACAATCACGATCCCCTCTTTGTTTAATTCACTATAATAGCAGATTAGTTTTTGGGTCGTAGAAGAGTCACAACACGCTGGATTTTGGATTGTCTTCAGTCTTATCGAAAAGATAAACATGGTTTTGTTTAGTTTGACCTCGGTGGCTCAACTGTTTACACAGCAGGTTCCGAGTTCGATTCCCGTTAAGATCTATTGGGGAAATATTTTGTACAATGTCATATCACCAATTCCCCTAGAAACAGTAGTTTCAAAGATATTACGCTATCAAAGTACGAACTGTGAAATAATAAGGACCAACTATAAAAAATTTAATGGGGTGGCTAGTATGACGCTCACGGCGCTCGTTTTAATTCGTATCCCGACCCCGCTGTTCTTCATTATCTTATTACTTGGCTAACTTTGTACACGCCGACTTTGCTCTTTGATACGTGGCTTACAATAGTGCTGAATTTTAAATACATTTTAAAATTTGCTTTTTAAAATTGTCGTAGGAAATATATACTTATTTTAGCGGGAACTTTAACAAAAATATTTTATACTACATCCAAAATTCTTACAACGTAATATTTCCTTTTTTAATTTTACCTACACGTCAACTCGAGCGCGTACTGCAACCTACCAAAAGTCAAGCAATCGCTCATAAGCATTGCTACAGTATTGTGACAACGCACTTTATCTTGGATACACTCTTCTGTGCTACAAAGCATAGTTTTTTTTCGAAAGTATAAAAATATTTGAAAATATCACATTAACTTAAAGTGTATCTATAATAAAAGAAAGATCTGTTTTTCCAAAACTGCGGTTTTCCGAAAATCTATATTTTTTACAGAATAATGCCGTCCTTTATTTTCGAAGGCCAAAATCCTCTTTGAGTCATGTAACGAAGAGCAGTCTTTTCCGTTCTCTATGAATCCATTTATGATTAATTTACTTGTAACGATACACATGGTTATAGAAGTTGAGAGTAAAGAATTAAATACTAAAAAATATTGAAAGCAAATATTGTTTATTTACTCATGCACTAAAATTTTTTTAAAGTAATCATAACGTTTTAAATTGCACGGGATACATATAAAAAAATGTCACAAAGTTAAATACGTAATTTGCACGTTACATCGGCAACAAAATTTGTCAATATTTACATTCTACACAGTTCAAGATTGATTTATAATTCTGCATTGTAAAAATCAATGTTATCTAAAATCGAATTAGATACCAAGCCACCGTACGGTATCATTTTCTTGCAACAAAAAACACACCATATGTTTCTTTTTTATTGGATCAGTTCTGGGTGTTCTGGATAGTCCATTGCTCCGGTACTCAAAGTACAGGAAATTCCCTACTTTCAGACCAGTTAACAGATATAGTTGACTCGCACATTATTATGTATTATTAAATAAATAACGCACACACTCATGGCCCTGCACTAGGGAAACCCTGTGTCGCGAGTGCCATGGACACACACATAGACAATCATAAATTACACCCAAATTCACGAGATAATCACTTGAGAGATCCTTATAAATACGCCACAGCCGCACACAGGACAGTATTTAAAATTGTTTTATTTACAATTTGTAATGTTTATTTCGTTCTTTTTTTCTCTTTATTATGGTTTTTGTTTTAATTTGTTCTTTCTGTATATTTTTGTGTGGCGTTGCAATAAATAATAATAATAATAACGCTCACAATCAACATAGCCCCGCACTAGGGAAACCCTGTGTCGCGGGTGCCATGGACACACACATAGACAACCACAAATTACACCCAAACTCACGAGAGAAATAAATGTAGGCCATACAAGTATTTCTCCCGGCCCGGGAATCGAACCTGGGACCTCTGCGTGGCAGTCCGGCATGGTAACCGTTCGGCCACGGAGGCAGTTAAAATAAATGTTTTCTATTCTATTCTAGAAATGAATGTAGGCCATACAAATATTTCTTCTGGCCCGGAACCGAACCCGGGACCTCTGCTTGGCAGACTACCGGGGTAACCGTTCGGTCACGGAGGCATTTAAATTAATATTGTCCGTACAGACAATTACATTGTAAATTTTATTTCAGGTGAACGGCACTTGTGCACTAGAAGCGCTAAAGAGTTTGTACCACAGTGCTGGGGTACTACGCCATTGGCGCGCCGTTCGGTACTGCTCGTCGCTTCTCAACCACACTGTGGATTCCATCAGCCCTTTTATCACTACAGTACTTGTTAACGGCAAGCAGGTGCGTTTAGTACAGTTGATGCCCTAAGATACCTGACCCTTCTAACCGTCTTATTTGCTTCTGAGTAGATCAGTGTGAAGAAAGGTGTTGAAACTAGGGTTGTTGTTAATATCATCATCCGCTTCCGCGGATAATTTACATAAATTAGAATATCGCATCGGCATCATCGATGCGGATGTACATTGCGGATGTTCGAGTCGTGACATGATTGAAAGGGCACGAATAATTTACAAACCTTCCAGAAACAGACTAAGCCTGAAATGCAGCTCAGCTGTTGTTTTTAAAATATAACTTGGATAAAATTCCACAACGTTTAACCTAGGCCGACTGATTGCTTTCATGCAGTTTGTTTCTTTTGTTAATAAATGTCACAAAATTATTGAAATAATATTTTATTTCAATACTAAAGAAAATATAAAGCTTTTTCATGTAAATAGATTCAGTAAGGGTGTACACTTTTAGCGTTTTTTTAAATACATAATGCTGCATCCGCTAATGTTAAGGTCAAGAAATCAGCATCCGCATGTCTAAAAAACCTGCATCAGCAACAACCTTGGTTGAAACAAATTCAACCTTTAACCAGTGAGCCAAAAAAATCTGTTGTGACTTCCTATTGCATCATTAGCGAATGAGGTTTTAATAAAGTTTTTAAGCCAATTTGGTTTTTAATTACATATATACAACGTTCTGTTAAATGCGTAAAAAAGCTCTCAGAACCAAAAAGGCGACAGTACATTTGCATTCGTTATTTTTAATTGTTTCCTTTAGTAGAGATATAGCAATTGGTTGATTAATGCGTGGATTGTTTAGAGTTTTCATTATTTCAAAACTTCACATGAGAAAGCTTTGATAATAAAAAAGTTAATTTATCAGGTATATAAGTATTACAATTAAAATGTATTGTAATAGAAGCTCCGAAAAGTACATTAAAATTGAGACTATTCAAATTATGAATATTACTGCGTTATTTACTAAGCTACCGTAAATTTTTGTGCAAATAAAGTTACGGAAAGACTACTTCATTACTACTAGTTAAGTACTGAAACTCCAGATTTTTTTATGATACTAAGTGATGGGACGAATAAGTCGTGCGCCTGATGGTAAACGACACGCCTGTCCATAACAGTTTAACGGTTACTACTACAGTAACCGTTATGAATAGGCGTGTAGCTTACCATCAGGCGCACGACATGTTCGTTGCGTATGCTACTGCTGCTAAAGTCATAAATTTAAAAGCGAGGTGTTTGGCAAACTATTCTATCATACGTAAATACTATCACGAGTGAGAACATAATATGACATACATCGGTAAGTTGATATTTCTTTCGAAAATTTTATATATTATTCGGAAGTACAGTTTTATTTTGTAAAATTCAGGTTTGAACAAGTTCTTGATTGTTTGCTAAATGTGATTAATTTTATCGATGGAATATATTCTGTGTTTATTTTTCAGTCACAATTTTACCGCCGCCGCTTAGTATTAGAGTTGACAGTTAACCTTAGTTCACTGCAATTTAGTTTGTTTTTCGGAACCTTTTTTATTTCCCAATTAAAGTCAAGTATTTTGAGACTTGATTGAAGTCAAATCTTATTTATGATTGTCTTTTGAGTCGAATTTTTGCATGGAATGTCATAACTGAAAAGTTCTTTATTTTTTTTTACAGTTAACAGTAGGTGTGATTGGTCGCAAAGAGACTGTTTTCGACAAACCGATGACTCCCGGCGAAATTCAGTCTGTAATGTACTCCACTATACAACCTTATGACGTCATCGGGGCTGTTTTACAACAGGTAATTTTACAAGAAGTTACGCGATATACGGCCGTGTAAAAGCTGATAAGTTTCATTCTGGCTTCCTTGTGGTGGATTAAAAAAAATCTGCTCCGTTTAACAACACGGACGTTGATTTCAAAGTTTATTACTAGCGCTACTATTTCAGAGTCAATAAAGGAATTCGTCAGTCTTTATTATTGATGCGCTTTTATTATTTTGTTAAAACGAGATTTTCATACATTATTACGTCCTGCTTTTTGGTTCAGGGTGTTGTTTGTATTTATGAAAGCAGACTATTATAGTGCCCTGTATATTTTTCTTCTCTATGCTTGCTCCAGGATTCCCTACATTTACCTTTATCAGGTCTGTCTTCACCTAGATCGCGTTCTTATTGGGATCTTTGTTACATTTGATATCATTTACAGGAAATAGTCCTCTACTGTGGACGATTAATCGGAACAAACCCAGACATGTTCCACGGTATCCTCAAGATCCGAGTAGGTTGGGTTCTGCAAGCAATCCGGCTGTATCTGCAGCTGTTCCCGTCAGAGATCCGCGCCGACGCGCAGTTGGAAAGCCTCTCACCGTACAAGCTGCGCACGTTACTGATCCGTGTTCTGTCCGTCTCCGATTGGGCGGATGAGAAAGGGTAAAAAACATCGAAGTATATAACCAGAAATAGAGGCGAAATAAGGGTCATGCATCTCTGGCAACTTCATCAGACAAATGGACCTACATCACTACTACAACTACAACTACATCACTTTTAAATATGAACTTACGTTTGTCCTGAAATCACAAATTACAAAGCTAAAAAAGTATAGAGCGCCAACAACTGATCTGTGTGTACGTCTCCGTATATTCCAAAAATATTCTGTATTTATTATATAAAAATAATATCTGTAACAAAAGGGGGCTGTTCCATTCGGTGTGGGAAAAATAGCAAAACATCTAATTACAAAACATACGGAATCACATTTCATTGGTAATCAAATATTTAAAATGTAATTTTTCAATTTTCATCCAATGTAGCAAAGCTCAAGTTAAACTAGTCAATTTTAAGTGAAACAACAATTGACGACACTAGTTAATTGTTTCGAATTCAGGCTGGCCAATCGGAGCGCAGTTGTCATCGTAATGATTTGGCAGAAAAGTTGCCAAACAAAATAAATGACATTTCGTCTCTATTTCTGGTTATATGCTCGATGGTAAAAAATTACAGTACTATGTATTCAGTATTGTATATAGTCCACCTCATTGTCATAACGCACTTAAAGTTTATTTTTTCTTTTAAAAATGTAAATTACGCTAATTTTGCATAACAATAAAACTGAAACTAAATAACATATAAAAAAACTTTTACAGGGGGTTGTAGATCTCGTTTCGCTGACATATATGTTAATAACTCAATTTCGCTAAAATGACGATTACGTTAGTTATGATAAAAAGGGCAGTACCTGTAATTCAATTTACTCGATTGTAAGTGGCTATCTCTACCCCAAGGACATTTTGTGATAAACAAACCTGGGTGGGACTGTGTCGGGGCGCCCGGCAGCTGGTGTAACGTCAAAAGGATTACCTGAGTTGATCGATCTACTTCGTATGATACTCTCGTGAAGACTATTCAAAACTGACATGACAGAAAACCTTACATTTCCAAAAAAGCTACTGACTTTTTAGCGATATTTAATTATAAAAATAAGTAAGCTTTTGTTTTTCTCAGGTTAACACCTTTGCATCGACGCCAATTAGAAGGCTGCCTTTGCCGTGTACCCAAACACTTCTACATTCAAGTTTGGGATATTTTGCTGCGGACGCCTAAAGGCATTGTCGTACAAGTGTGTATTTTATTATTTTATATTAGTTAGAGTAACAGGTGTGGTCATTTAAATATCCGGTTAACTATGTTAAGCCTTTTTAATTATATGCATTATGCAAATATCTACTCTGTACTACGTCTGTCAAAATAACAATAAAAAAGGTAGTAACGCAATTAAAATTATAACGTCACAACGTTCATAATTCATTTTTGGCTAAATTTTACAATCTATCGACAAAAACTACATGACTATTTAAAATTTTACGAAAACAGGCAACCCTGCAATTGTTATTTTACTCCATCTTCAAAAAAAGACACACTATAGAAAAGTTAAATCCTCAAATGGGTCCTACCGGGACCTCCTAATTCAGTGCCCAGAATGTAAACCACTAAGGGCGCGTTCCTACTATGTCGTGACGACAGATTGTCGTGCAGTTTACAGTGTCGTGGCTTGTATATTTAAATGAAGTTGTTTACATATAGCACGACACGATTAACTGTCGTTCACGATTTTTTATCGTTACAGTGACAAACTATCGTCACAGTGGGAACAGTTAGAAAGACAGTCGTCAGACGATAAAAAAACGTCACGATTAAAACGTGACGACAGATGTCGCAGCTCCTATTGTCGTCGCGTTTTATTTATCGCTGTTCGCACGTATTCTGCTCCCTGCCCCCCTCTCGTACCCTGCGCCCTCTGCTCGCTTTGCAGTAGCGTTGAGTCGTAGCCAGAGACGGGCAAGCGCCCGGGTTTTAACCCGGCGCTTTTTTAACGCCGTGTTTAAATCGGGTTAAAACCCTAAATCGAAGGCAAAAACTATTTACGTTTAAATATTTGTTGTGAATTGAGTTTTGTTCAAATTTAATTATACATATTATTACAAAATATTTGTTGCTTTATTATCAGGACAGTTCGATTTACCTTTCTATTGAATAGATTCGAACACACGCTACCGGCTTCCAAAGAACATACAAGCGACTGCAGTGCATCAAACGTTTCTGTCGTGCAAACGACAAGGAGGCTGTCGTGAAACGATAAATTGTCGTCACGATCTAGTGGGAACAGCTCAGTCACGACAGTCGTTCAACGATAAAAAATCGTCCACGACAGATAGTCGTGATATAGGAACAGGTTAGACACGACAGTCGTCCAACGATAATAAAACGTGACGACATATTGTGAACGCACCCTGAGACATCGAGGTCGTTACTCCCGTTTGATATGAAACTCCCGTTTGCGACCGGGTTGCTGTTAAAGTGGATAAGTTACAGAAATAATGTATCATGATCAAGGGCCCAAGTAACTTTGTTAATGCAAACTGCTGTTGCAGGGTCATTCAATTCCAGCAGAACCGACATTAGTGAACATGTCGCGTTCAGAACTATCCTTCGCACTACTCGTCGAGGCAGCTCTGGTCCGCGTCGAATCCCCCGCCCGTCGACAACTCTGCGTGGAGTTGTTGTGCGTCGTAGCTACCATATTGCGACGGAACCCTGAGCTTACGCTGCGTCAGCCTCTCGATTTGGATAAATTGTTGGATGATGCTCATTTGACTTACGCAAAGGTAGTTCTTTAAAATGAATTAATGAAATGTTCTCTATTGCAAAATACAATGACAACTTAGAGAGCAGTAATAATTTTTTTTTATAACATTAAGTGACGGGACGAACAAGTCGTGCGCCTGATGGTAAGCAACCTGTCCATAACAGTTACAGTACCACTCAAGAGCTTTAAATTGCAAAGATCTGAGGGGCACTGCCACTGCGCCCGTCACCCTGAGACATAAGTTGACATGTCCCATGTGTAATTTCACCAGCACCCTTGCCCTTCAAAACCGGAACACGCAGTAGTGCTGACATTACTGCTCGGCGGCAGAAAGAGGTAAGGTGCCAGTACTACCCTGGACGCTCTCTTTCAGAAGGAGCTCTACTGCTACTAAAACTATTGTATAACAGACGGCCTTATTGCTAAGTAAAAATTCGTCCAGGCAACCTTTAGGTCCTTATAATTGAATTGAACAGCCCTATTTTTTATTTATTGCATATAATATTGTATGACATTTTTTTATAATAAACCCCATGCAGTATTTTAAGTAATAAGGGGAGTAAACAGACAAAAAAAGTTGTCAGAATTCAATGATGAACTTAGACACGTCTGGATATTCATTCAATATGCATACCTATTGAATAAACAAATAGGCGAGGGATAAAGAACCTTAAATGCCAAACCGTCGCTTTACTTTCTCAAACTCGTATCTTAAAGCACAAAATTACTGAAATGCAAAAAATGGATTGTGTACACACATTTTGCAGGCTGATTTCACATCACTTTCCTTCATATTCACACACTGGCTTTTACCTATTTTTAAAGTAATGCATCCAAATTAACCCCCTTGATAAGAATTTTAAAATAAATAGAAAGTTTTGCCATCTTCTGAATAATCACTCTTTATTAGATACGTGTTTGAGAAAGTAAGGTATCGAAATAGTATTTTTTACTACAGAGAGTTTTAAAAAGAATGAGGCACTTAATTAGGCATTTAAAAATATGTTAAATAGAAAACAACCGACGATACGACTTAATATCTTTTAACATTGCGTGATTTTTAGAATTTTAACCATTGTCCTGCCAACAAAAAACATCTAGAGAATTGTTTGTAAAAACAAATAAAAATAAAAATTTCAAAATATGGACTAAGGTCTTTTACCTCTCACCTACAGATATATTCATTCATCTAAATATCCAAAGGAGAGCACTGAATACATTTTTATATTATGTACAATATACATTTATAATTTTTGACGACTTCCGTGGTCGATTGGCTTGCACATATTGTCCCTGGTGTGGATGTTTGTGGTACCGTCGTTATTTCCATAAGACAAATGCTCTAGTAACTTGCTTCGGGACCAGAGCAGCAATTATGTTATGTGGTCTAATATTTAACTGCCTCAGACAGAGGTCCCGGGTTCGATTCCCGGGGCGAGAGAATTGTTTGTTAAGGCTTCATTGATCTACCAAACATTGACCTATATTTATTTCTTTCGTTAGTTTGGGGTGTAATTTGTGGTTGTCTGTGTGTGTCAATGGCACCCGCGATATAAGCTACCCCTAGTGCGGGGCTAGGAGTGTGTGCGTGTTATTATTATTAATATTAGTAGCAGTAGAGCTCCTTGTGAAAGAATTCGTCTAGGGAAGTACTGCCACCTTACCTATTTCTGCCGCCATGCAGTAATATCAACATTACTGTTTTCCGGTTTTGAAGGTTAAGCGTGCTGGTGAAATTACATGGGACTTGTCAACTTACGTCTCAGAGTGACGGGCGTAGGCAGTGCCCCTAAGTTCTTTGCGATTTAAAGCTCTGACTGGCACTGCAACGGTTATGGACACGCGTATATCTTATATTATTATTATGTATTATCCATTAGGCGCACGACTTGTTCGTCCCGTCGTCATTTAAAATTAAAAAAAAAACTATATTTAATATTTATACTTACAGGACAGCGGACAACCGTTGTCTAGTGAGGCACTAAGCTCCGCAGCGCCAGCCGTGAGCGTTGGCTATTTGGCGCGAGCAGTCGTCAACAGTGTACTGCAAGCTGCCGCCGCCCCTGACCTCGCACCAGCCGCTCACGATGCTTGTTTGGTTACGTAAACTATTTTGTTGATTATTAAAATTTTTACGGTGACATTGTGTTCGATACCAGGTCATATTATATAAGATGTAAGTACTTTTTAATTACTCATAAAAAATACGATCTGAAATTCTAAGGAAATATCAAATTCACATTTAATTTTAATTCAAATTAAAAATATGAAAGGAGTTAAAGCGTTCAGAGAGTGAATTCCACACCATAGCTATTCGCCATATAAATGTGGAAGTGTAACGCTTCGTCTTTTTGTTTGTATTTCAAGTTCCTGACAGACTGGCTCATAACTTGGATGGTTAGGAGCTGGCGCTTGTTTACTATACGTGAGTATAGTAAACAAGCGCCATATACTCTTAATTTTTTTCGCCTTATACTCTTAATATATATATATATATATTAAGAGTATAAGGCAAAAGTGGTGTAGTAAAATTGTTGTAAGAAAAAGTCCATGTGGGCTACACCACTGTTGTGCTGATAGCCTCGTGTTATATTGGCATGAAGTACATCAAATGCTACACAGATATCGAGTGTTATAGGTTATTCACGATTGTTGTACATGGAAATGAAACTATTTTTCGGATCTAAATCGCATATATTTGTTTTTTCCCATAGTCACACCTGACTGTTATGAGTGACATAATGCTATGTCGATCCGAAAAAAATAATTTCATTTGCTACATAGATAGTTTTGATTTCTAGTAAAAGAAAATGTGTAAAAGACAATATTTTAAATGTAATCGATTATCGTTTGGTATTATTTTAGTACCAACATTTTATGTTATTTACATCGTATAGAGTTTGTACATTGTTCTTTTATTGTGGCTTGGTTTGTGAAAAGTAAACAAATTGTTGTGCCATGATGTAATTATGTTCATTGTTATGTCCGCCCAACCAATAAGGATTGTTCCATAACATACATTATGTTGGCTGTGTGTTGATTGATACATACGAGGAGAAAACACATTATTTCCATAAGGCTCAATATTGCAGCGGAACAGAATGGAAGCGAATTTTTATAACAATATTGTACGAACAACGGCACATCAGACCACACATTTTTGTTCGAAAATCGCGTCCAGTGCAACGGAACAAGATACGTCAATGTGTGGCTTGATGTGCTGGCGTGTGTACATAGCGTAATGAACTTTATGGTCAATTGTGTAACGTACAAACTATATACGAGCCTAAAATCACGCCGCGCGTCTTCCGCGGAATTCGGCGACAGCTGGCGAATCCGTGACAAGTGACGTGAACGCAGGCGCAGTATGAAGCCAAACGTCGACGAAACACCGTAGTCTCAAGGCGCAGTCGCGCGAAAGCTCGAGCATTCCATCGAGCTAGCGCGCCTTCTCGCGCAGCGAGGCGAAATTGACGCCTCGGTACCATTCCGTTCCGCCGCAATATAAATTGAGACTTAAGTGTAATGTTTTCTATAGTTCTGATGGAATGTTCAAAGAACTTTGTTTTAAAGAGAATTATGGTTATTTTCATTGACTTACAATTATATGGACGTCGGGTCCGCGCTAAAAAGTGTCCGAAATTATAGGGCGTTAAAATCGTATACAGAGCGTCATTCACGCTTTAGTCTTCGTTTGTTCGACTGACAGCGAAGCAAGCAAAATTAGACAGTACTGCGATGACATTACAATTTAAATTCAACGTTTTAGTTTTTTCATATTCCTTTACATGTCACTACGTTTAAATAGGTTGACTTGGGACATTTTTTTCGTGGGTTTTGTATTAGACCCGTCGTCCATTTATTTGTAAGTCAATGGTTATTTTAGATGGATTTGTAAGACATACGTTCTATAGCTGTGAGATAAAAAATATTTCGTTTGATTTAATGATTATTATCATATCATGGTCTATTTTTCTTGCAAATATAATAAAATATAGGCATATTTATTTAATAAAAAGAGAAATTATTGATAATTGGAATATTTTATTTTTATAAAAAAAAAATCACAATGTCACAGACAACACAAAACCCGGCGGCACACTTTGTTCATACCATTGCACTCATTTCACTACTTAAAATAAATTAATAATTTGTATTCATATATCAACTACTATAGTCCATTGTATACATCATTATTTGGTTTCTGTTTAAGTATTTTACGGAGGGCTGAAACAAAAAGATATTGAATCATTGTTATTATACATTCAATAAGATTGTTTATTGACTATATCAAATGGATTGCATCAGATTTAAAGGTGTAAAAAATTCAACATGCGTCATAAAATGCTATTGTAGAGTCGATGCCAATCTTATCACCATGACCACTCAAAAATTATTATTGTGTTAATAGTTTGTTTGATTTTTATGACTCTAGGTTTTTTCAATTAAAAACATAAAAAATCCACGAGTGGTTAGTACCACTTATTTTATTATTTTTAAAGATAATGTGACATAATGATATTTTCTGGTCAAAAAATATTAAAAATCAATTTAAGCTACAAAAGTAATTTTATCTGCCTATATAAAATTACTTTTGTAGCATAGAACATGGGCACTTTATAGCATTTCATACATTTTGTCAATTGAAGAAATGAAATCTTTAAAATATCCTAATTATTGAAGCCTTAAATTTGCATTGTCAATCCTAAAAATGTTGTTCTACAATAATTACACTCACCTTGTTTCTCCTCTTCAGTGAAGTCTTGTTTAGGGAAATCAATGTCAAAAGTAACGTACAGATTGCCATGGAGGTTATTATTCTCGAAATTGGGCATACCCTCTCCCTTCTTGCGGACACGAGCACCGGCCCACGTGACTTTATCGCGATTTACCGATACCTTATGACCATCCAGGTGTGTCAACTCCAAGGTAAATCCGGTTAGGGCATCCTGAAATTTATACATATTTTATTCCACGGACACATTTAAATACTGACAGCTCTTATACAGTACTGAAATCATGGAATATTTTGTGTTTTGTTATTTATTTTGCAACAATAATATTCATATAATATTATTTTGTTAAATATGACCAGTCTATTTGAATACAAAATTCCATCCGTTATGAAATGTTACATGGGTCGGTATGCAGTGATTACGGAACAAGCTAAATTAAAACTTAACAAATTAAAGTTCAAGCAACTAAAGCAGTCTGTATAAAAATATGTAAAATTACGCGACTGCATTAAATACTGCAAACACTTTGCTATTACTATTTTATTTATAAATTCTTGAACTCACTACTGTTCCAGTATGTGTATTATCAGACTCTCCTGCCATATAAAAAATCTATAGCATAATTGTTATTAATTGGGAAGGTACACTAATAAATTAAATCAGCAATGTGTTAGATGATGTGAGCGAAAAGACAGCTATACTGGCCAGATGACATTATTTTAATGAATCAAGAGCTATAGGGATATACTAACACTTTCAGGATGAGAGGAAAAAATTACTGCCAACAAAATGTTGGAGTGAGAAAACAATTGAATGACTGAAAAGAATTAGATCTACAATAAAAAGCTTTGCCTATCAATAGGACAGTCAAAGGAATGTAAATAATGTACTATATACATTCTAAAATACATATTCTATCATCGAGTAATTTAACTCAATAGATAAGGGAATGGCTATCTATGCCAAAAAATTACAAGGTTGCAAAAATTATAGAAAGATTCTTTGAATATTGTCCCGGCATAGAACTAGTCCCACAGTGACATGTGGGTCTTAAAAATAGAAAAGATTGTATATCAGGCCACATTGTAGAAATATTGGAATAAAAGAAAATTCATAGTACAATTGGCAACAATTACATACCTGTAATGTTATTGTAACATTAGTGTAGAGATCATCACCACGACGAGTGAACTGCTGGTGTCTCTCAGTCTTGAATACAATCACTAGATCGCCAGGGTCACCATCAGTGTGTGGTTCTCCTTCTCCACGAAGGCGTGTCTTGTGGCCATCTGGGGCCCCTACTTCCACCTACAAGTTAGGAGTATTTAGATGTTTACCTTTGAAAAAGTGGACTTTGACAAGAAATTATTGATAAAAAAAGATTTATAGTTATTTTTTTTAGTTTATGACTTGAAATTGCAGATATGGTAGGATAAGTATGGTATACCTCAATTTCCAATAGTCGCTCCTCATTCACAAGCTTAATATTGGGACATTCATCACACACAGTTTGCTGCATCATTTGGAACCGTCCAGGACCCAGGTTACGTGTCACCATTTCCTGTCTACAGTTACACTTGCGGGTTCCTGATGCCGGCTTGATTACTGGCTTGTTCCGAGTTATCTGAATGACAAAGACATTATAAATTATTAGACAATATTATATAGACAGTAGGGTAGGCAGAGATCATGGTATCCACTTGCTCAACAACACCACAAAATGGTAGCATATTGATATAGTCTTCACTGTGAGCTTATGCATATATTGACACTTGGACAGCAAAATGGGATAAGCAATCTTTTTTGGTCATATTGAGTTATATATACTGTTGGAATCAGAAACATTAGCATATTCCAATGGTATTAACTCAATAATGGCCAAAAGTGTTGCTTATCCCATTTTGCCTTTCTAAAAGTAAATGGAATTAGATATCATTGACACTAATTAGATGTTTAACTTGGGGAAGTTTAAGGTTTTATTTTCAAATTATTTAGAATACAAAGGAACATAATTGAATCGTGATATATTACAGATTAACTTTTTTAACTATTTCTTTAATTTACACTTATTGTGGTTATATAAGTAAGTAGTAATCTACAAAATCAGACAACTGTCTGAGTCTGAAATAGTATGGGCAGTGAACATACTTCAATGAAATTCCCATTATAAAGCTCCTCAAGGGAGACCGTCATTTCCATGACAATGTCTGCTCCCCGCGGTGTCTCTTGCTGCTGCGACTCGCCGCCAAAGTGGAATCCAAAGTCTCCAAAGAAGCTGGCGAACGGATCGTTATTGTTCATCATGCCATCCTTCTTCAGACATTCCTCCCCACACCGGTCATACAGCTCTCGCTTCTCCGGGTCCGATAGCGCTTCATACGCAGCTCCTAAGTCCTGAAACTTCTGCGACGCGTCCGGATCATCTTGGTTTTTGTCCGGATGCAGTGCTTTTGCTAACTTTCTGTAAGCTTTCTTGATTTCATTTGAGTTAGCTGAACGGGAAACGCCGAGTATTTGGTAAAAATCACGACCCGCTAGCGCTAACACTAGTGCGGATACAAAATAAATTAAACACAAATATGCTGAATTAGTTAACATTATGTTACTTGTACACCTAGGAACTAGTTTAGAAGCTAAATAAATTATAAACTCAAAGACCGTCTGCTCTCGTAAACTATACTCCAACCCAACATTTCGTCTTTTGACAGTTTTTGACAGAATACCTTCGAAGACAATTCGTCCGGCAGTGATTGGTTCTGAAGTTTTTCGAAAATCAAAATATTAGGTATATGTCAACTATTCAGTATTTGTAAATTTAAATTTTATCACCTAAGCGCAGAACTTAATATTCTGTAAGGTAATTTATAAAAATCTTGGCCAATCCGAAAAAGCCTCGTACTAGTCAATGTTGCCATTTGTATTTGCTTCGCAAATTCACTTACTGTTGGTACTATCGGCTAATTTTCCGAAAAATTTCAAATATACAGCGGAAATTTTTCTGGAAAATATCCCAAAAAATGTTAAAAATTAAAGGAAAAATATTGGAAACATATCCGGAAAAATATTTATTTTTCATGACCCAACATTAGATACATTTCGCACTTCGCTACTGTTAGGTAATATTCCCAAAAATTTTAAATAGTGGTATTTTTTCCGGAAAAATTCCCGAAAAATTGGAAAAATATATTATATATATAAAACTCAGTACTCATAGGGTCGTATTCCAGAACTGTATTCAATGCTCAAGTCAGGATTTGAGCAGACTTAAGTATGATTTCAAACACTGGAAATACGATCCTAATGGCAAGGACTTGAGTATGATTTCTAGTGCTTTGAATCATACTCGAGTCCTGATTTGAGCATTGAGTAGAGTTCTAGAATACGACCCATAATATCTTCCAAATTTAAAAATATCTTTTGAATTAGTATGAATTAAAAAATAAATTTGTACAGTTACTCGTAAAAGCCAAGAAAAACAAGATTTAAAATGATTTCACAACAGCGAAGAAAAGCCTGTAATGGCTACATCGTTTTCGTTCAGTAACTTCAATCTTTTGACAGATGTCAACGTCAAATGTGGAAAATTAAAGGAAAAGTATTGGAAAAATATACGGAAAAACATTTATTTTTTTGAAAAATATCATAAAAATATGATTTTTTTTGTAAAATAGAAAAGTTTCCATGACCCCGAACTGGAACGAGTGAATAAGTTCCCAATCCATTGTACCCTTACAGGATGGAAAAAAGCTTCTTGCCTGTGGATCACCTCTCTGGTCCACCTGGGTGGACAACGGTAAATTATTCCTTCCCGTAGATCACCTATGTGCACCTGGGTGGACCAAGGATTTTGTTCTTCCCGTAGCTCACCTCTATATACAATAGATTAAAAAAGTTGTACCATTCAAAAATTGACAAGTCATTGGTTTGACATTTGGTATGAGGTTATTAAACAAGGATTTCGATTTTGTATTCTCATCGTTACTATTATTCCAATAACAGTCTTGTTCTCTTGAAGAAGAATCAAACCATGACTTCATTACTGGCGCCTGAGATTCCTCAACAAGGATTTTCATTTGAAAACTGTCAACGGTAAGTAATACCGCAAATTGCATTCTATTCTAATTCACTATTCGGCACTTTTGCTAGTACTTTAGAGAGAATATACTAAATTTCCAGCAATGCGTTCCTGGCTCAAAAGGGTTTCCCCGCCCCCACTGCAGTGAAGACTGGGACCACAATTGTGGGTTTGATTTACGCGGATGGCGTTATTCTGGGTGCCGACACTAGAGCTACTGAAAACACCGTTGTATCTGACAAAAATTGCCAAAAAATCCATTATTTGGCTGGGAACATGTACTGCTGCGGGGCTGGCACTGCTGCTGACACCGAGATGACGACCCAGACAGTGGCTTCGCAGCTTGAACTACAGCGTCTTCACACTGGTCGCGTCGTGCCGGTGGAGACAGCTGCCACGCTGTTGAAGCGTATGCTGTTCCGCTACCAGGGCTATGTTAGCGCTGCTCTTGTGCTTGGTGGAGTGGACCGTACTGGGCCTCATATTTATTGTATTTATCCCCATGGATCTGTTGATAAGCTTCCTTATGCCACTATGGGTTTGTATTGCCTTATTTTTTTTTATTGTGAACAGAATTTGATGTAATTAGGTTTGGAAAGGGACTGCTCTGATGGTTTGGCCTTTTGAAAAGAATGGATGTTATTATAGTGATCACTAAGGATCAGTATAGTTGGAGTATGTTTAACTAAATTTTAAGGATACAGTACTATATTACATATAAATAGTGGATGATATCCTCCTCATGAAATCCAAAATTTTTGAATTATATTTTAATCTACATATATTTTTTGGTGTGTAACTAAATAGCAATTACTTTCTGATCTCTGATAATGATGCAAATTTATATAAATTGAGGATGTCCTTAAAAATGCTATATAAACAGAACTAGGAATAAATAAATTAGTGTATATGAAAAGCTGATGACAATGGCAGCAGCGAAAAAGTTAAGTTGGTAGTAGTAGTAACAGGAAATGAACACAGTAAATGAGGCAGTCAAAAGTACCATCTTAAGATACCATTATAGCCCTTGAGAATCATTCTAATAAATTGACAATCTGTAGTTACAATAACAAGCTTTATCATCAATTAATTATCGGCACATTTGCTAATAGTGCCACAGATAACAAACGATTCTCTGAACAAAAAAAAGTAGAAAGACATTTATAGTCTCTGTCTATCTATTTCTAATGGTCTTTCAGGTTCCGGCTCTCTTGCGGCTATGGCAGTATTTGAGGCAGGCTGGAAGCCTTCTTTGTCTGAGGAAGCAGGCAAGAAGCTTGTCCGAGATGCCATTGCTGCGGGTATCTTCAACGACCTGGGATCAGGTTCCAATGTTGACTTATGCGTCATCCGCAACACAGGTCCTGCACAATATCTTAGGACTTATGAAGAAGCTAATGTGAAGGTATTAAATCTGTTAACTTTTCTTTATTACATTACATCATTGACCTATGTTGGTAGGCCAATACATTACATAGCAATTATTTCCACTGTACACATTACATTATTGCCATTTCTACAGTATGATTATTTATGAAAAGATTTAGGAACATGAATTATAATTTGTTATAAATTTTATATCTACTGCTGTAAATTTGTTCTTGTCTCTAAGAGGGCAAGGTTTTAATAACTTTCCTGCACATATTATATTATGTACATTTTGATGTATATGGGGTATATCAAAATGTACATAATATGTGAAGTGATTTAGACTGTGACAACGTTATTCATGCAATCATGTAAGCACTCAGTGTACATTATGATTTAAATATCTCAACACTATTTATATTCTATATGACCATAGGTTATCTAGAAAAACCTTGCTTGAACCTGAAGCATGTAATTTTATGTTTAGTGCATTGGGTGTTTAGTGCTATTCTTATTGTAATAACTATTGAAGATAGTTTTTTTTGTTAATATTGTAATAATATAAAGGCTGATTATCCCTAAAGTCACTTGTTCTCCAAGTCCAGATTTAATATACAAGACAAAAAATAATATTTTATTAAGGATGCCAGAAATGTGAAAACTATATATTTTTTGAATATTTTCAGGGCAAGAAACAAGGCTCATACAGATATGTTCCTGGTACCACTGCAGTTTTGAAGAAGCGTATCATTCCACTGGAAGTGGAGAGCAGCACCATACGTACCGTGCAACAGCCAATGGAGGTGGAGCCATCTCACAGCGGACGTTAAATTCTTTGCTCTTATTCTTATAATATTAATAATAATAAACTTTACTATTTTTAAAACAATATTTTTATTCCTATAATTAAGAAATAACTCCTTTCATTAAGGTAAAAGATTAATGTTGTGAGTGGTATAAGTAATTAAGTTTAAAAAAACAATATTATAATAAAAGACATTTAATATATTAAAGAATTCTTAAAAAATACCTATACAAAAATATTTGGACGGAATATTTGTCATCTGTATCTACATTATTAATACATTGTAATAAAACACTAATCATTGATAAACCTAATTAAAAGAGTATTTATTATTCATATTTGTTTCTCTACATTTAAAATATTAGAATAAATCATCTGGATACGGTTGTGACAAGAGTTTTTAATGGCATCTAAGATATAAATATTATAAATAGCGAATGAAATGTACCCTTATATGTTATCCTCTCTTATGTAGAATGAAGTCCCAAGTGTCTTTCCATCTGAGATTCATAAGATCATTTTCAGACAAATCAAAATTCCCATAGTTGAGAACACTGAATTTTTTAAAAGTGATTATTACATATACTAGCCATACAACCAGGCCCATAATGAACAGGTTGATAAAAGATTGCGTTTTTTCACGCAAATGCAGTATATGATAAATATGATCAATGACATAGGCTAACAATAATATTTTGAATATGTAAGCAGGTAAATAGTGGTGAAGGAACAAAGTGCGGTCTATAAAGAAGTAAGGTAGATAGTGAAGCCAGTAACCTAGGAATAAAATGCAGCCAGCGTCATAGAATTTCTGCGATGCGCGAGGGGGTAAGTCAATACAGGCGCGGCGTTGGCGAATGGCGTAGATAGCGAGTAACGAGCTGTATACTACGACGGCAAGTGTTCCCGTATACCACGTCACAAGGTTTCCAATAAGATGGATTTGAGCCTGTGAGAGAAATTGCGAATGTTATTATACTAAGTAGATGAAAACAAACTCGAAACAGTAATTAAGTTGGGAGAGCGTCAAGTACGATGTGCTGGTTTGAATCCAGTTGAATTGAAGGAATTTTCCTTAGTGTTCGATCTTTGTAATAATAATTATAACAAACTAGTGGAGTAAAACATCCGTGATATTCAATAAATTTACTATTACAATCATTGACGTACAATTATATGGACGTCGGGTCCGCGCTAAAAAGTGTCCGCACTTGTAAGGCGCTAAAATCGTATACGGAGCGCGACACTCCGCTTTAGTCTTCATTTGTTCTACTGACAGCGCGATACTGCGATGACATTACAATTTAAATTTCGAATAGGTTGACTTGGGACATTTTTTTCGTGGTTTTTGTATTAGACCCGTCGTCCATTTATTTGTAAGTCAGCTGCTGGTAGATGTAAAGCATCGAGTATACAGGGTGTCCCAAAAATAACACGCCAGAGCGACACTGTGGGTAGGTGAGCTATATACCTACCAGAAAAAAATAATTTGACCTTAGTAAAAGTCTTTTAGTTTTCGAGATATTTGCACTTTTTTATTTTTTTGGAATAACTCTACTTTTTGTTGAGTTTTTTTGCTACTATTGCCAGGGTTAGCTCCAGATGGCAGTTGTTTTTATTTTTCAGGTAACCTGAATAATTTTTCAAGGTACTGCAACTAATATTTTATCTGATAAATGTCATAAAATGTGAAAAAAGTTATTAATTTGGTATACCTCGTACCCTTGTAAAAAGGTGTGAAAAAAAAATGTACGAAACTGAATTTGCAAATGATCTTGAAAATTGCTCCACTTAATGCAGAATCAGGAATGGTACAATATTATTGAGATTTTTCACAGGAACATAGTCATTTAATTTATTTTTCGTCATAACACCCTACCAGCCTAATCAGTTTCTAAACAAAATTAATTTTAAACTTTTAAATGAATTAATTGCTAAGCGCTAGGTAACGGCGCATCAATCTTTTTCCCACGTTGTATTCGTAATAAAGGAGTGAGATAGTTACTAGGCTTTTCTTTCTCTCTCTGAACTGGTACAAACAAACTGTGACCACTCAAACTTCCCAAAAGCATGCGGATTTAGCTACTAATATCGTGGTAGAGTGCCTTTGTGTGTCGCTTGATTTGTCGCCGTTTTTACTTAATGGAAAATAAAATAATAATATTTAAATAATTTAATATTTATTAGATATTATAGCAAGTGTTCAAACTGCCTCCCTCTGACTCTAATGCACATGCGACATCTTTTGAAAAATGAGCTTCTCAGACGCCTCAAACTCATTTGAGAAATTTCTCGAGCTGCTTCATAGACTCGTCGTCGTATTTCGGTTTCTGTAGTGATAGCTTTGGAGTAAACTTTATCTTTTAAGCACCCCTAATAGAAGAAGTCGAGGGGGTTCAGATCAGGTGATCTCGGTGACCACAAAATTGGTCCCAATCGGCCAATCCATCTTCGTGGGAACGTCTGGTCGAGGTGCGTTCGGGCGTCGCGAGCGTAGTGGGCAGGACACCGACACCCATCATTTTGAAACCGCATTCTTCTTAGTAATGGTATTGGCACATCTTCAAGAAGGTTTGGCAAATGGTTTTGTAAAAACTCTAAATAATTTTCGCCATTTAGAGTCGGAGGCAGTTCAACTGTACCAAATATTTCCCCATTGAAAATTCCGGTCCATAAATTAATTTTAAACTGGTGTTGGGACCGATCTTCTCTTCTCTCGTGCGGGTTCTCTAACTGCCAGCTATGGATATTGTGGAGGTTTACATAGCCATCTCTGCGACATGCTGATTCATCACTCCACAAAATCGTATTAAAAAAGTTGGGGTCTTCACTGTGCTTTTGAAGCATTTGTTGACAAAACTGTACGCGTTTAGCGTAATCGCTCGGCAGTAAAGTTTGAACTCTCTGAATATGGTATGAGTGGTATCGGTGCCATTTTAAAATTCGCTGTGCCGTAGACTTTGAAATGCCAGTCCGTCTTTCTATCAGGCGAACTGAAGTGGACGGATCTCTTGACGGTACGAGGGCTGCCTCCACCACGATGGCCAGGGTTCCTACCCTCTCTGTATGCAGCATCAACTCTTATTATGGTCTCATGGGTCGGTGGCCTACGGTTAGGAAATCTTACCGCATACAATCTTGCTGCTAATCTTGCATTTAACGATACGATGCCGCGAGCAGAAACACGTCTAGTTTCGCCGTAAATTATGTACATGTCAGCGTAATCACTATGAGTGAATTCGAGGTTTGCTCCAACGATATTCTGTTGATCTGCCATTTTAACTGTATAAAGGCAGTATCCGGCGGCGCAGCTGACGATCACACACAAACAACACGGTCCAAATAGTAAGCAAATAATAAGCAAAAAAAAGCAGGGTCCAAAGTAATGCCAAGTTGTTGATATGATTACTAAAAAAACTTTTCCGATCGTTATCAAATGAAAGTCCAAAGTGATGCCAAGTCGTCGAAAGTGTAGAAACGGAAGCAGCGATAAAACGAAAAACGCGTACGTAGCACAAAACACAAAGGTATGTACTAACGGGTACTACGGGCCCAATTCCTATTCCTATTCCTCCTTTTGCCTTCCATTGTAAGTAGGTATAAAATCACTTTTATCGTTACGCGCACAAACTTCAATAAAACAAAACAAATTGCAAACAATAACACTACACCAGTAAACACCACGGGACACGCTATTTTGACAATGGTAACGAAGCTAAATAAAGATGTATGCAATTTTAAGTAAGGATCGCACATTTTGAAGGTATTTTATTTTGTGTCATTATAATATTATCCGACCACGTCGTTTAGTTCTGTCAACGTTATGCTTTACATTCATTTACTCGCCTTCACAAATTGGCAGCTGTGTACACTTCACTCTTTCGTTCAAAAACCTTCAATTTAGTAATCAATGGTTGAAATTATGTGGTGAACACATCTTTGATGATCGCCTGATTAAACAGGGGTTGAGATTTGATCGGCCGTTTAGGAAATCATCTGATTAGACAAAATCGATGAACTCAGACCTAAGTTCTTGTCAAAAATTTCAATACTATTGTACAATTCCTGATTATGCATTAAGTGGAGTAGTTTTTAAGATCGTTTATAAATTCAGTTTCATACAATTTTTTTTCACACTAGCTATTCAAAGTTAATGTTTAACTTTTAACAAGGGTACGAGGTATACCAAATTAATCACTTTTTTCATAGTTTATGATATTTTTCAGTAAAATATTAGTTGCTGTACCTGGAAAAACTATTCAGAATACTCGAAAAATAAAAATAACAACCATCTGGAGCTAACCATGGCAATAATAGCATAAAACCCAACAAAGAGTAGAGTTTATGCAAAAAAATAAAAAAGGGCCTATATCTCGAAAACTAAAAGACTTTTACTAGGGTCAAAATATTTTTTTCTGGTAGGTATATAGCTCACCTACCCACAGTGTCGCTCTGGCGTGTTATTTTTGGGACACCCTGTATAATTAGAAATAGGGGCCATATATTCCTGGTAACACATTAGCGATACAGCTCTTATAAATATCAATTCTTGTTTGCACTGAAATATAGAATAGACAGGCCAACTACTGACCTGTGTGTACGTCTCCGTGTATTCCAAAAAATATTCTGTATTTATTGTAATAAAGATAATATCTCTAACAATGCCATGCTGTTCTATTCGGTGGTGTAGAAAAAACAGCTAAACATTTAGTTACAAAACACTCGGAATCACATTTCATCGGTAATTAAATATTTAATTTTGCAATTTTCGTCCATTATAGCAAAGCTCAAGTTAACCGGTCGATTTGAAGTGAAACAATTGACGACACGCATTGACGACACCCGTCAATTGTTTCGAACTCGGGCTAGCCAAGCGGACCGCTGTTGTCACAGTAATGATATGGCAGAATAGTTTTCAAACAAATTAAATGACATTTTGTCTCTATTTCTGGGTATATACTCGATGATGTAAAGATACCTGGCCGAGTGAACAAAAACATTTCTCACAAATGGCGCTACGGCAAAAAGTCGTTAAAAACAAAAAACAAAGATCTGCAAGAAAGCACATAGAAAAATGAGCAAGATTTGCTGATTCGGACCGTAGCACAGTTGGGAGATCGTCAGGTACGATAAGCTGAAGTCACGACTTCGAATTCAGCCGAATCGAAGGAATTTTTCTTAGTGTTCGTTATTCGTATTAATAATTAAACATTTCGTATTATAGCAATAAAGAAGAAGTACACAAAACTTACATTAGAATTTGGAGAGAGCCAGTAAGCGATAGATCGGACGAGTAACGGCCATTCCGCCGGCTCGCTGGCGAACATGTGGCCTTGCGGTGCGTCGGGCGCGTGTGCTATCATCTTGTACTGTAGTTCTGCAAACTTTTCCCAGAATGAAAGTTGAGTCACAGCTGTCGGGATCATTTCAGCGGATACCAATTCTCGTTCACGTTCTCGTCTGTCTTCAGCTGCGTAAAGAGGCAAACACGTTAATCGCGTATAAATATATTTTATTTACCTCGATGTTTCGGACGTCCACGGCCTCGAATGGACGTCTCTGTGAACGTGAGTCTCGATTTTTAAAATGAAATAATGTGTGAAAATCGTGAAAGTTTAAATCAATGTAGACATTTGTACTGGCATATACAATATATATAAATAATATATATTAGACAAAATCCCATATGTCGCTCTGATCCCAAAGTAAGTAGCTAAATCACTTGTGTTATGGAAATCGGAAACGACGGTACCACAAACACCTAGACCTGAAAAGACTAGAAAAGTTAGTTTTCTACAGTGATCAGGCCGGGATCAAACCCGGGACGATGAGATGGCGACACACTATGAAAACCGGTGTGCAAGCCACTCGATCACGGAGGCCGTACTTAATTGTTTCTTTTGTATATAATAATACTAGTAATATATGTGTATACATATACACAAATAAAAAAAGGCTAGGTATCGAGATGGCATCAAGCATGTTTTTGTTAATTACTGAAAATCATGGTTTTTAATAAATTTTCTTATTCCAATGGATTTTTTGGTCACATTCATTTTCAAATTCATATTATAAAATAGACCATAAAATCCATCGGTCCAACACTTCAAGTACAAATACAAGTCAGTATGTTCAAAGGGCAGCGTGTACACTGCAAACGACGCTCCGCCGTACGCGCCGCTGCACAGTGGGCCCAAATTGATAATTCTTGGACATAAGAATAATTTGTGGAGTATTGAGCTGATTTTTTTTCATATGATACATAATAACATTCCTGATAACTTTTATTCTTATGTAATTTCTTGAAAAGCTGATTGTTTCAGAGAAAAAAAAATAATTTTTTTTTGTTTGGAGAAATAAACATTTTATTTTTTATCTCAAAATGTAGAAAAATGTAATGTGTGTGGTTTATTTAAAGTATAGGTCCAATTAGTCTCTATCAAGAAAAAAAATTCATCTGCAGGTACTTGCGGTTTTATGAGTAAAAAAGTAATATAAGTCGTTATTTATTTTTTAACACAATGTACTAGTTTCTACTTAACGTTCATGTTATTAATATAACAGTCTCTAAATTACACTAAAAATAATTTTTCTTTAGTCGAAGTTCATGTATTTTGTTAAAAAAGTACATTAAAAAATTGGCCATTTTGCCGCACCTTTACTTACAAAGCCGCAAGTACATGCAGACGGATTATTTTTTTTCTACATAGTAAATGATTGGAACTATACTGTAACTAACCCACGCACATTACATTTTTTTTCGTATATTTTGAGATAAAAAATAAAATGTATATGAATCCATTAAAAAAAAAAATTTCTCTGAAATTATCAATTTGAGCCCACTGTTCGCCGTTCTGAATTTGCGTCTTTATTGTTCTGGGTAGGACAGGGTCAAGAGCATTAAAATAAGATTAAATAAGATTTAAATTAAACTCTATGACGCTTACGATAAGAATGGTCAAAACTTTGAGTTGTATCAAATGGTGAACATTAGAGCGATGAGTACCAAATTTTCATCTCGGAATCTCGGTCTCGAAAATTTTGCGGGTCTCGACGAGTTTCGGTATTTTTAAGAAAGTCAAAACTTTTGAGACTTAACTATTTTAATTAATCAGTATCTAAAAATATACTATAATTTGCCTTCTGTAATTTTTAACTTGGGTGACAAAATATATCTATGAAACCACATTAAACACTATTTGTTTCTTACAAGCTCACTATGAAAATGGAAAAAAAGAACTGAAAAATTATTTTAGATTTTATAATTTGAGTTAACAAAGAGGTCAAATTATAATAATCATGTTTTGAATGCCTCAACACCTCAACCTATAAGTATGGTAAGCTACTTTTGAAATAGTCTATAAAGTCTCGTTTTTCCGGAATTTTCGAGATCACACAGTCTTTTTTCCGAGACGCAAAAATGCAGTGACGCTGATAATGATAACCCTAGTATCGAATATATTTATTAAATTAATAAGAAAATTGAAAACCTTTCGTGTATCGATGTTCTTCAACATTCCAAATAGTATCCTGATGTGTAACGACTTTGTCAGCGACTACTTCGTGTTGGTGGAAGCCCCAAGCTGGCAATTGCCGTCCGCTGTACCGCAAGGCAGAACCTGAGTCCACGTGTATAAGGCGCACGAGTGATCGTATGCTGTCCCAAGTTGCATCGTCGGAGTCTCTATTTATAATTTCTATTCGCCAAAGATTTTGAGCTGGCATTGACACATTGTAGTCAATATAACAAGACACTTCCTGTAAGTAAACACTGTTTTTGTATATGTTTTAGTCGGCTATAAAATTGAATTAAAGGAGAAGGGTCCAATTTGACCCAGTCTTGGCGCAAAAGAAACCTATCCCAGAATTTTGCTTATATTAGGTACTTAAGAAAATTCTGTATAGTTTTTGTTTTTGATATCAGTGGCTAACATGTCAATATTGCATTTTGTTTTTGCTCAAGCGCATAAAGTTAAGTAATGTATGTTCATGTATAAACAAAAACCGACTTTTTCTACGTTCCGACTATGAGCTTATAACCTGCCAGCCAAGTTCCATGCGATTCACTTGACGTGGTAAAACTGAATTGCTTAAATTCGTATCATGACCTACACAAAGTTGAACGGGAATGGCATGACCGGATGACCGATGAGTATTACTTTTTAAACGTTAATTATTGTTTTTGGCTGGCTAGCTGACATGTAACAAGAGCTGCAAGAGCAGAACATATGATTTAGTATGTGGAAAGAAATAGAAAGATGTACTATCCTGGGAGCAAGCACTATTAGTCGATTGTGTTAGTAGAAGAAGAAGAAGTAGAAGTAGAAGAAGAAGTAGAAGAAGAAGTAGAAGAAGAAGAAGAAGAAGAAGAACAAGAACGAACAAGTCCTGCGCCTGGTGTTACCGATACGCGTGGTCACTTTACGTGGTGCAGTGCCACTCACAGACATAAGTTAACAAGTCTCATGTGCCTCTTCCACCACCACCTTTCAAAACCGGAATGCAGTAATGTAAGTAATGAATGGCGGCAGAAATAGGCAAGGTGATAGTACTTACCTGGATGAACTCTTTCACAAGGAGCTCTACTGCTACTGTCACTTCCAAGATATCAAAATCCTCTTAAAAGTTTAGTGTTATTTTAAGAAATAAAGGAATATGTTTAAAGTTTATTAAAATTTTATTGTACCTGTGATTGCGGAGAAACAGCAGCAGCTACGTCATGCGAATTAAGTGCGCGACTCGTAATGCCATGTAGAAGCTGAACTACATCGCCGTGCCGGATCGCATCCGGTGGGCGTGCTACGGCAAGCGATGCCTGCAAACGTATGAAGGTTACATTTTAATTCATAAAGAATGATTATATATTTATGTTACATTTTAATTCTTTATAGAATGATTAAATAACGATGGAAGCTTTAGTGAAATCTCATGTCTTGCTAAGAGTTATTTTTAAAAAATCTGGCAGAGGGCTACAATTATATTATTAATATACTATAATGAAATTTTAAGAAATGTGCTGCTATCTAGCGGTCAATAGCTGAAAGACGACGAATTCGAGATGTTGATGCAGTGGTATAAGGTTTACTGTCGTTTCTCGTAACAACAAAATTATTACAAGAAACAGAAATTCAAAATGTATTAAAATTAAATAATATAAGACTTAACAATGATAATATGAAAAACTACCATAGATTACCATACCATATTACAAGTGCAACTATCATTTTTGCAATATAGACATTACCTGATCGGGTCGTTTAACAATCCACCAGTTGTTGACATCCTTGAAGCTGTAGCAGGTGACCTGCTGTTGGTGGGAGGATCCGCGGCCGTCTGCGTACCGCACGGGGTACACGTGTGCGTGGGAGTGTAACCAGCATGTACGTCCATGGGTATGTCTATAAATAATTTTTTCTCAATAAACCACCATTCTTCAAAAATCAATCGTCCGTTCATATCAACCTGACTGGTCCAAGCAAATTTCATATCTCTCCTCATGTTTGTATTTTTTTTAAATATTATCTACAATCAGTTGCTAGACTATAAGTTTTTTTTTTTCGGTGATTTTTGGCGTTTGAGAGCAAGGGAGCGACCGCTTCAGCATCCCTTACCCATCGAACACATGCCTTCGTTTTAGTCTCCAGATATTGCCCCTATCAACTAGTGCTTTAGCAAGAGGATTCTGATGAGTATTGAGCCGAACCCTGAGTTTGCATCTATACAGGTCCATCTCTTCTAGACTCGTCGGAATCTACAGGTACTGATGGATTTCAGAGATCCTAGTGTACCTGTGGCACCACTGATAGTTTCAAGGATGTTGTTTGGACTCTTTAAAGTTATAGAATATTTTATTTGGAGGCAGTGTTTGCATACATAGTACAAAATTTGATAAAATGATTTTTTGATAGTTATACCACAAAAATTACCATTTTCATTTATGTAATTTAAGAAAAAAAAAGTATCGAGTTCTTAGGTTTTCGCGATTGTTATACATAGGAATGAAACTATTTTTCCAGTCACGGTTGACTGTCAACCGTGACCATGGGACCTGTAAAGGGCCCGAAACGTCGGTTTGTTTGAAAAAACAAATATACGCGATTTAAATCCGGAAAAATAGTTTCATTCCTAAAAAAAAAGTACCTTAATGTGATTTGTGAGCCATGTGCAACATGTAACGGCTGTCCTCTAGTGATGCTTGCGAGGCCTCCTTTCAATGACGCTTGGAACGCACTTGTCATTACGCTATCATGCGGGCCGGCTTTCGGAAGCATGGCTAAATGTGCATAGAACACTCCCACATAAACACTTAGCGGGATTATAATGAGAATTGCAAGTCTCCAAAGTATAGACAGACATAGTTGCAATCCGGATCCGGCCTGGCCGATGCGCCGCCAAATTTGACGCCCGACTAGAAATAGTACTAAGTAATAGGTGTATAGTCCGGAGTATTTTACCCTGCAATTTTGGAAAATAAAAGTTTAGTATTATTCGGACAGGTGTCCCTTTTTAATATAATTACAGTAGTTAATTGTTTCAATCGCATTCAAGCTGAAAAGCAATATGGTACCACTAAGCACCAGAATCTTATGGGCATAGCTGACTAACAATGAAAAGTTTCATTTTCATTCTTTATTTTTGAATATATGTATGTACTCTATTTGTGAATATATGTATGTACTCTATTTTTCAATATATGAATATATGTTATCTGCGTTTCAGCGCGTGCAAAATGCATGAAGTTACGATAGAAACAACAATGTTTTTTCTGTTATCGATGCCAAAATTTTTACTGGTATACTGTTCCTTATATGTTTTTGAGATCATCTCTGCATCGCGCAGAAACGCTCATTTATGATTGTTTCTTTTGGTTCTTAGTTTCATTACATCTTGGTGATACTTACGAAAAACAGCATCCAAGACATAAAGCACTAAAACAAAGCCAGACCACAGAGGCTAGTCCATTATTCCTTGTACTCTTTATAGCAAACAGCACTCCACACAAGCCAAACAAAATCTGTATGCTTTCTAGCAGCATAAATCTTGATTGTGCTAGGAAACAATTTTCTGTAACAACGTTCAATAGAAGAAATGAAACAATTTTTATGGATCTAAATCGCGTATTATTTGTTGTTTGTGTCATTATATCAGTCAACCGTAACCACGCCTCTAAAGGGCTCAAAACGTTCGTTTCTTCATATAGATCACAAAAATACTTTTATTTCATATATGTAACAATCGTGAAAACCTAAGAACTCAATAAACATTAAATGTATGAGTTTCAAAGACAGTCAGCTACAGGGAAATGAAACTACATATCGACGCTGGAAAGGAAAAACGTCTAACGTGCATTTGAAAAATATTAAAGAATTTTTTACAATTTAAAACATTTTTTTAAGAAAAAAATGATAACTCAAAATTTCATTTGTTATATGGAAAACCTGAAATTTTCTAGTTTACCATTTAACAAATAAAATTAGAGTAATGATAATTTTTTTCTTAATAAAAATACTTTCAATCACTCCCCTGTAATATTTTCTAAATGTACATTAGATGTTTTACCTTTCCAGAGTTGATATGAACCATTCATCAAAAACACTAGATAACCATTATTTAATATAGAAAATGGTATTAGTATAATTTATATTTCTTATATGCATTGTATTACTAAAAAATTAACCATTGCATTTATTATCATAAATAATGAATGCCTGTGTGTGTTTCTGTTTCTGTATTTCTGTCTGTCTCTATGTGGTTTTAAAAGACTAAAAACAAAACCTCTAAAACTTTAGTAGCTAATGTTTGAAAACATATTTTTTTAAATTAATGTCAGTTTTCATTATGTAGGATCTGCAGGTAGCTGTTACTTTGAAAAATAAAACTTAAAAACTTTTTCTAAATAATGGACAGTCTGTACCCTACGTCAAAAGGTGCAAATCTCTTTACCATACTGCTTTAAAAAATTGTAACAAAATATATACAACTTATCACAAAAATAATTGTATACCCTGTTAACTACTTATACAATTTGTCAGGATAATAAAAAGGAAATAGTATGATTTTCTAAACCACAACAAATCTGATAAAAATACTGTTTTATAATATCATCATTTCAAATGCAAATTAGGTTCTAGAATGGTTTCATCATCAACTTATCGCACTCCACTGTTACCTACCACCACCACCACTTATGTCCATAGGACTCTCCCAATAGTTTCAGCTTGATTTATGCCCGGTTCCTATATTCAGAAAACGATCCGTTTTGCTTACCATCGGTACTCTTCTTAACCAGGCGTAAGTCAAAACCGTTTCTATAAAAAACGTTTCGTAAGCTATGTTACCAGTGACTCGCTACCTACGGATGGGAGGACCACAAACAACGAATAGTTAAGATAAAGTATGGGGATGACAGTTCATAGTGTTTCTATATTATTTTTGAAACGTCAACGAACTGTCAAAGCTACTTGTCGTTAAACATTTTGTTACCGCCCAAATTGCGTCGGTTGCGTGGTAGTATTCTCCAAATTTTGTTTATTAATTAATTGCAATGTCTAGTTCAGACATTTGTCTGGCCATAAATACTGTTACACTTTAAAATAAAAAATATTACATTTGAATTTCGAATCTATACGATTGGCAGTGAAGAATTTTCCCATGGAAAGAGTGCGTGCTTCTATTGATAACTTGCCTCAACGTTTAAAGGACTGTATTGCAGCCAATGGTGACCACTTCGAATAAACTTTTTATATTTTTTATTGTTGTATATTTATGTATTAAACTAACACACTATAAAAGTAATAAATGTTATTTGCAGTTAAAAAAATATATTTTTTCTTTATTACAATATTTATGGCAAGACTAGGTATATTGTTAATTTCTTTATAATTAAGGATTTGATGTGGATTTAATGGGTGGTGTAACATTCTAAATAAATAATTATAATCAAACAAGTAACTTACCGGAGTAGCATCCATAATAATTACACTTTTATTTTTTGAATATGTTTAACACTGCTCTTTAGTTCGATGTTGTTTTTAAATTCTTTCCGCCAAGCAAATCGCTGTTTGACAAACGTAGTGACGCGACTGCGTTTTGTTTCCTCACCGGTGTCATATCAAACCTCTTCTAGATCATAATCAATACGTAAAATTGAGTATACACCACTTTTTCAACTGTTTGTTTGAGTTTTTTTGTAAATGTAGAATAATATTATAGTTATATTCTTTTTTAATAAATATCGGCTAAAATATGGTTTTTGGAATAACGAAACGTAGAGAGAATCTGTGAGGTCCATTGGTAAGCGGATAACCGACGACCATCTGTCGCAGGTAGTCGGGTCAAAAACAATGTGAAACACATGTTGACGAATGGTTATTGTTAGGGTCATTACGAACGGTTAGGATAACCGAAGACAATGAGTTGATTATAGGAACCGGGAGTAAGCATTGGTTTATAAATGATAATTCTATATGGTGACTTTTATAGTTAACCCGACATGTGTGCTACTGACTGTATGTCTGCTAACCGTTTTTTTTCTTCTTTTTTAAATGGTGGATGAAAACACAAGTACTCACATGTTAGAGACACCATGTCGCTTAAGAACGGAACAGTGTAAAAATCGGTAGGGAAACCATGTGCCCGTTGGTTGATCATAACATAATATATTACTATAATATTCAAGACAGGGAAACATACCAAACAATACTAGTAAAGCAGCCAAAATAGCAGTCCAATGGTAATTTGCTATTTCCTTCATCAGAGTATAAGTTACAGAGATAAGTAGACTCCCAGCAACAGCTGGCACCAATCTCAATGCATGTATAGGTACATTATTTGTATATGGTGAGCCTATCCGGTCAAATGTGAAGTTGCCATCATACCCTGCAGCGTTGCCTGCAAGGTAGAGCAATTGCTTGCCTAGTGGAGGGTGTGCGTCAAAGAAGAATACACCTTTTGTATATAGGGAGACATATCTTCCATAGTGTAGTTCATCAAACCTAGAAAGTAATTAAATATTTTCATATAATGTGTATTTTACTTTGTACCATAGTTACATGCATGTAGAATAGGAATTCTAGTGAAATTTAATTTCTTTTATGAATGCAATGCATAATTGTCAATTTTTACTTGTAAAAGAAAGGTCAAGTGGCAAGTGAATTACAGTAATAAATTAATACAATATCATTATATTTCATTTATTTTATTAGTGTAATTTACTGTTCATCTAGTTTTTTATCATTAAGGCACCACAACACTCACATATATTGAAATAATATATTGAAATATGTACTAAAGACAACAATATAAATGTATGAGTAATATAGTAATTCAGATTAGTAAATTATATTTACTTACACAATGTAACGGGGCTCATCCAATCTGTGCAATCGGGTACTTAAGGCCAGCATTAAGAGAGCTAAGAATACAATATCAATTTGTACAATTAAGTACCATCCTCTAACAGGTTGATCAACTTCCATAATTTGTTCAGTACTTTTAGTTGATTCTGCTTCATTGTCGGCTGGTGCTCCATCTCCCTATTTTAGTTATTTCATGTTCAATACTCAACACATTAATTGTATTTGTATAGTACAAATTGTCTTAAAATTATGCATATATTACACATTATGAGCCCTGTATTAGGGTTAACCATTGTTGTTATCAACAAAAGCAGAGGTAGGCCGAGGTTTAAATTACTAGTCACTAAAATTGTCTACTATCAAATATATCACATGAAATATGGTACTGTGAAAGTTTGAATTAAATTAAATTATAAAAGTATAACTTTATAACATAATATAATAAAGATTTCTTTACAATAAATTTATTATTAAAATTGAATATATTTGTTTTTTGGCACTAAAGTATCATTCACTTAAATTGTTAACATAAATGTTCAATTAATAGTGGATATTTCTCCTCGTTCCAAATAAGTTTAGCTTGTAAGACCGTTGAGCCATAAACATAACAAAACAAAACTATTTTTCATAGAGTAAATGAAAAAATAAATAACTTTGAATAATTTTAAAAAGTAAATTTCGAAAGGCTATGTACTTAAAATATGTTCAAGTATATTGTAGAATCTCTAAACAACAGTTAAATTGTCTTACCGCTTTCCTTTCTATATTTGTTGAAGTATTTTCTAAATAACATTCTTCTGAACTATCTGTGACCTCGTTTACTTTCTTTTTCTCCTTACGTTTTTTGGCAGTTTTCACCTCCATACTGCTAAATTTATTGTTATAGCCTAAGAGAGAACGCTTTTTTACTTTTCTTCAATTTTTTCAGTAAAATATGAATAGAAGTGAGAATACCGGACATCCTATACTAAAAATACGCGAACATAACTGTATAGTTAATGTCACGTTAATGTTCAATGTAAAAGTACGCGAACGCGAACGCGAATCTTACAGTAGTTTGTTTTTTGTTTCTGGCACTTCGCGGTTTGCGTTTGTGCCACTGCAAAACGGGGAAACTTATTCACGGAAAACAATAGAAAGGGAAAATAATTTGGAGGAAGGATCAGGGAAGCGCGATTAAGGTTAAATAGGAATACAAACATGTAAAATATAAACATAACAATTTTGTGACAAACGTAAATATTTATCATTTGATACAATTGAAAGTTATAAACGAAGCGAAACATTTATATTTCACATTTATATTTTATATATATTAAGACTATGAGATGCCAAAATAAGCTTTACAATAGTAGGAAGAGGGAATCCAATGGAGATGAGGACATGGAACAAAAAGGAATGATCGTATAAAAGACAGTTGAGTACAACAAATTAGTATTCTGAGTTGGTTTGCTAAAATATTTGAGAGCTTAGTATACACTCATCTTTATAAACACCTTAACCATCTGCTCAGTTCGAATCAACACGGGTTTATTTCTGGCCGCTCAACTACTTCAAATTTACTTGCTTACATGACTTACCTCTGCGATGCATTTAATGATAGGTGTCAGGTTGACGTGGTTTATTTGGATTTCTCAAAAGCATTCGACCATGTTAATCATACAATTTTGCTTTCTAAGTTATATCACCTTGGTATTCACGGTAATCTCCACCGCTGGCTCTCGTCTTATCTTATGAACCGTTCCCAACTGGTGGCCCTGAGTGGATTTGACTGTGTTCCATTCGTTGCGATGCCTGGTGTGCCTCAAGGATCAAATCTTGGTCCTTTACTATTCATAGCTTTCATTAATGACCTTTTGAACACGATTAAGAGTGATTGTCTTGCATATGCTGACGACATCAAGATTTTCTGTCGAGTTGATTCCTTGAAGGATTGTTTGGCTCTTCAAATAGATCTTGACACGATAACAAAGTGGTGCAACAACAACTGTATGATTCTCAATACTAAAAAGTGTCAGGTAATCACTTTCACCAAAAATAAGAAGCCATTGAATCATGCATACAGTATTAAAAATGGTTTATTAGACCGAGTAAGTGTTGTTAAGGACTTGGGTGTCATGTTTAATACAGTCCTGTCGTTTAGGTCCCATTACGACTACATATGCAATAAAGCACATAGGTCGTTATCCTTTATCCTCCGTAACACTAAACCATTCCGAAATTCAGCCTCATTAATATTATTGTTTGGTTAGAAGTACCTACACACATCAAAAGTGTCTCTAATTTAAGCAATATTTACCAAATCCAGTCTTCCAGGAAGACTTCTTACTTTAATGCTTATGTTTTATTTAACCGCTTACCCCTAT